TAATTTCTAAACTTGCACATTTTTTAAAGCAGTTAATTTCTTTTATTACTTGAATTTTCTGGAAAAAGTGAAGAGCTTAAACTTAATAACTCTGATTTTAAAAGGAGATAAAACTTTTGCTGAAAATAAAAATAGTTCACGTTATCTGTGCCGGAGAAATATTAAATATCTTTGTTTTGATTATTAATTTTTAAATATTTTATTTTTTTTTTTTTTTGAAACTGAAAGCAAGTGACCGCAACTAGGATGAAATCTAAAACTATCAACGATGATTTTTATCAGCACCCATCAAACCATCTGAAATTATCTGAAGTTTTTTTTGCTTAAATTACGTTTTCTTATTCATATTTTATTGTAACCTGTACAGTTTTTTTTCACTATTTATTAAAAACAGTTTTTATTAGCAAATTTATTTTTTTCTTAATAACCAATTTACTATGTATGATAAATTTATAGATGAGTTATTTATTAATAAAACATTGAGCTGCTTTAAACAATTTTATACAATTTCCATACATATTCCATACATACATATAAATTTTTTAAATTTTTTTTCTAAAACAGAAGCTTTTGAAAAAGAGAAAAGATAAAAAAAAAGGAATCACACGCTCTAAACGATGTTTCAGGCGCGAATGCTCATTTCTCTTAACTCTAGGGCTAATACAATAGATCGAAGAAAGAAGTCTCCTTTTCTCCCACCGAAACCAGTCTTAAAGAGGGACCCCGCACCCCTACTTGAAATAATCATACCTCGTTACCATAGTCCCCGCCACCCCTCCAGACGAATGGCGGACAGAGTACCTATCGTAGACAAACAGTATATACTTTATAAAATATTTTATACCTGTCCAGTGGCATACATAGACTTAGGTTTATATTTTTGTCCTATTTTAGACTTACCACAAAGAATTTAAAATTAAAAGAAAAATAATGGCGATTAATTACAAAAGGGAAAAAATTGTGATCGCATTATATTACAATCATTAGTTTCCAATAATTAGTAATTTTTTTTTCTGAATAGATTTTTAAAAACGCTTTAACATTTCAAAACATAGATATATTCAATTGATGTTCAATTGATTGCATTAAAAAGCATTTTCGCGGCATATACTGAACAAATAGCTTTACATTTAATTGCATAGCTCTAAATACAGTTTGACTTACGGCCAAATAAAGAATTCACAAATTCTTTATTTGGCAATCGATTAGTAGGAAATACTGGATTGAGTTCTCTTACTGTTCTAAAATGTTTTCGAAAACAACCTAAAAAGTTAATTAAAGTAGAGTGGAGATATTTCATTCTTTTTGTTTAAAACAGACGATTTTGTGTGGAACTTAAATTTTTTGAAAACAAACTTTTTATTTTAATACAAAACATTTTCCCAAGCTGTACTAGCAGTATTTTTGTTTGTAACTTTTTCATCAAAATAAAAATGTATATGAAATATACTATTCGAAATTAAGAACCTGATTGGTGCATAAGCAGAACTATCAAACAATATCCAGGAAAAATGTTCCATAAGTTTCTAAAAATCGTAAATTGTATTTAATTATTCTTCAAGATTTTAGTTCTCCTTGTTGTTGTTTTCTTCTTGAGAGTTATTTAAAATATGAATGAAATAATTATTATTTAATAAAGAATAATGACGCCACATGGAGACAATGAACCAGATCGTTCGAAAAATCAGCTCCCAAACCAGCGTTATTTTTTAAAAGTTGACGGAATTTGGAGACCACTCCATAAGTTCCGTGTTGCGGAACTCACACAATAATACATACCAGCAATAAAATTTAATGCATACATATTGTTATTAGAATACCACAGTCATGTTAAAAGCAAACGATTTAAGTGTCACCATGTGTTAAGCTCTGATTACATGTGTCACGTTAGCAACACTTCTCTAGAAAATTTTATTTTTTCTGTTATATTTTTCAAGGTAAATATACACTTACAATCACGTTAAAAAGTAGCCGGTTAGCCTAAAAGGTTAGATAAAAAAAGCTTTTATTCACTTGAAAAACGAGATAAAATATGCTTCAAAAGCTTAGGCAATACTTCCTTTAAAGAGATAAGAGTAAAAAGAATCTTATCTCTCCTTGCGAGGTTTTCAAACATTAGCTTCCAAACGGGAGACTTGGATGAAATTAAATTAAACAATATTTATTTATTTATAACAGTCATTGAACAGCCGACTTTAGGTTTACGGCTACTACTGTTCAACTCAGTAGCCTTGTAATTTTGAACCCGATCCAGAAGACAAGGGAACCCCTGGCTCAAGCATTGGGAGAAATTTGCCTTCATAGAAGACTTTTTTGATGGAACTAACCGGCAATTGCGTTACATAGGGAGGAAAACCTCTCACAGTTAGCCTGAGAGCAACGGGACTCTAACCCATGATCCGTCTGCGCAAGAATCGACTAGCGATGTCTGGTCGATACGAATTCTGCATCCGGCTTGCACTGACGACAGTGCTGACGTAAAATATCATGCGTTAGAGTCCCCCTGCTATAAGTCTAAGTGTGGGAGGTTTTCGTAGTTTTCCTCTCCATATAACGCAATTGCGTGTTAGTTCCCTCAAAAAGTTTTCCACGAAGTCATATTTCTCCCAATGTCCGATTCAGGAGTCTTCTGGATTGGGTTATCTTAATTGGGTTATCTTAAGTGATACCTTCTAATTTCTTTCACAAAGATTCTTTCTCAAAGATTTCAATTCTTTTACTACATATTTACACAAAGACTTAACACAAAAGCAGGCACGAATCCATGTGGAAAATAAACAATGCATCGAAGTTGCCAGGTGCACAAAACAAAAACATATCACAGTTACAATAAAATACGAAAACAAATAAAAACACAAGCAAGATGGTTCCCGCGAAAAAGTCCCGCAGTGGACTGATCGTTAAGACACGGTTCCAGCGGATCACCAAAGTCAAGCATGACTCGCTGCGGTCAGCGTGCGGGACCACTTGGATCAGTCTGCGTAGGGACCGAGGGTGTGCGGTATTGGTCCTCGTCAAACTATTCTACTGTAAAATGCTCGACTTTGCATTCAGATCGAAGCGGCAGTGCCATCCCCTCTGCAGAGGATCAAAATTGTGATGGCATGTCTTCGGATCATTCTAAGGGATGTATCCCAGATCGTCGCCAATAGCCCATTGTGCAGCTCTAGTGCGACGTAAATGAACTACAACAACAACAACAAGGTTTCCCCGAAAAAAGATGATACACCGCTATCTAAACCTTGATTTTTTAGACCATCATATAGCAAAGTTAAATTTTTTGAAGGAAAAAAAAATCTATAAATTGTGATACCGCAGGATTTAATCAAATTTTTACTTTGAAAACTTGAGAGACGATGCCAATACCATATATCAGGACAATGGCTGCTCATTTTCATAGGCTTTTTCGCGATGTCGAGCAAAAGATCTGCTTTTGTTATTTTAGAGTTGTTTAAGCAAGGAAAATGACGGCAGCGTATTTTTGCCGCGACGCATCTTTATCTGGAATACGAAATATTTAATTTTAATTTCTTTCACTTCAACATGCATTCCGTTTTACAGAAAGAACCACCTTAAAATTAAAATTTCAAGATGGGTAGGAAAAGGGTGACCTCAGGATGGGTTTTTTTTGTTGTTGATGGATTTAATAAAATTCTTACTTTTACAAATCTGAAAGAAGGGCCTTGATGGCTCAGGGGAAAGAGCGTTCGCCTTCCAATGAGGAGAACCGGGTTCGAATCTTAGCGATGGCTAGTCGATACGATTTTCGCATCGGACTTGCACCGACCACAGTGCTGACGTAAAATATCCTCAGTGGCAGACGAATCAGGGATTAGAGTCCCTTTGCCGTCAGGCTAACTATGAGTGGTTCCTCTCCATGAAACGCAAATACGGGTTACTTCCATCAAAAAAGAATGGCAAATTTAGAATCCTTTGGAATGGCAAATTTCCCCCCAATACTTGATCCAGGAGTTCCTTTGTCTTCTCTATTGGGTTCAAAATTACAAGGCTGTGGAGTCCAGCGTTACATGTTGGGGAAAATCATGAAAACCTCCCATGGTTAACCAGACGGCAAAAGGACTCTAACCCACAACCCGTCTACCACTAAGGACATTTTACGTTAGCGGAATTCGTATCGACCAGCCATTGCTGTTATTCGAGCCCGGTTTACCTCATTAAAAGGCGAACGCTCTAAGCCCTGAGCCATCACGGCTCTGACAAATTAGCAAATCGAAAGAGAGAAACAAACTGTAACGATACGGTAACCATAAATGCTCACATTACAGCGATAGTTTGTCGTTGAACAGCTGATCCAATTTTATGAGTTTACGACTACTAATGTTCAACTCCGTAGCCTTGTAATTTTGAACCCAATCCAGAAGACAAGGGAACTCCTGGATCGCGTATTGGGAGAAATTTTGCCTTCGTGAAGCACTTTCAGATGGAGCTAACCCGCGTTTGCGTTACATGAAGAGGAAGACCAAGAGAACCTCCCACGGTTAGCCTGACGGCAAGGGGACTCTAACCCATGATCCGTCTACCATTAAGGATATTTCACGTCAGCACTATGGTCGGTGCAAGTCAAATTCGGAATTCATATCGACTGGGATTCGAACCCGGTTCGCCTCATTGGAAAGCGATCGCTCTATCCCTTGAGCCATCGCGTCTCACCGCGGTAAATTGTAGAAAACTCTTGATGCTGCACTTTAACCTATTATCTTAGTTTATCTGCTAGGTAATGTGCATATTAATAGCTTTCGAGCTTTAGCGGTAACATATATATCTACAAAACAAAAGTTGCAGTATTAGGATAAATTTCAAGACTATAAAAATTATTTTTGAAAAAAAAAAAAAATTGAAAGTCACGAAGAAAAAAAAAACGTTAAAAAGCTTTTTGCGTTTAGTAATGCCTAATTTTAATCCCTGTTAATGGTGGTATATTTATTTAAATGAAGGATGGAGAGGGGGGGGGGATTATCCGTTTCTATGACAACTAATTTTGCATGCCTCTGGCGGCATCCCACGTTTAAAACGAATGAATGATTCGAAGGTAATAAGACGTTAATCATTTTTGACGGAAAAACGTAATTGGATGATACGGAACAGAGGCTTAATAGAGGTCAGTATTTGAATCGCAATTTTTAAATATTTCAATAACAATTGATATTTATTATAGAACAAAACAGACCCTTGCAATAGATATACTCTATAGCAGCGTTTCTCAATTTTTTTTTTTTTTTTTTTTTTTTTTTTTTTTTTTTTTTTTTAGTGTGGAATTTTAAATGATCGAACTCCCGGAAATTTAATCCATTTTCGGTCAAAGGTGCGTAAACGCACCATTTCAATATATATACGGTCAGGACTCAATATATATACGGTCGATATCAGTTGGACCTCTATTTAACGAAGTCTCTAAATCCCGATAATAAGTTTGTTATATGGAAAATTCGTTAAATAGAAAATCGCCTTTCGAAATACTTAAACAACACAAAACAAGTTTTAAATTCATAAACACTAGACATAATTAAAATAGCAATTGACATTTATCATGTAAAGTAGTATCTACTATTTATTTTATAAATTTTAACCATAAAAGAAATCTGCATGAAAAGCAAGAATAGAGCAAAACATTATCCACTGTTACACTATAATGCTACATATGTTTTCAACTAAAAAAAGCTAAATTTATGCATAAAATTGTAGTTGCATTTATCACTAAATTAATTTTAAACTTACATTACCACATGCGTTCTTAAGTTTAATTGCTACTGATGAAATCCGCTAATTTTGTCTGAGTTTTTCGTTTAAAATGCAAGCAAAAAGGCATAGCATTTTACTGCTTTCTGTAAAAGTTAAGTGGCATCAAAAATCAATTCAAAAGCTTTTCCCCCATAAAATGCGTTAACAAGTCTAAAACGCTCTGAAATATTTTGATAAATAGGAAAAGAGGATCTCAAAGAAAATTTCGTTAAATAGAAAATTCACTTCGCTATTTGGAAGTTACTTTACGAAGAAATTTCCAAAATGTTATTGGTTCCTCGAAAAAATTCGCAAAATAGAGAAATTCGCAAAATGGAAGTTCGTTAAATGGAAGTCCGACTGTATTTTTATTAACATTGTGACGCATATTTTTCACTAATTTTATTTAATAAACAATTGTCAGGAGTTCTGAAGATTGTAAAATATTAGTAATTCAAATGGAATAAACCTTATTTTTGGGGAAATTTTAAACTAGTTTCTTAACTTTTAAAAAGTTATCGACAAATTCGTCTTTTTAAAAATGTATAATTACATTATTTGAGATTAATCACAAGTTTTTATGACTGATTAAAGTTGCAAGCTCTGCAAATAAAATAAAACAAATTTCATTTAAAAATCTAGTGCTGAACTAAATGATTTGTCATTTGATTTGGCAAATTGTGCAATATAAGCACAATTTTATTTCTCAAATAAACTTTTTTTTGCGTCTTTATGAAAGTAATTTATGCGTATATCAATTAAAATAATACCTCATTTTATACAGTTTCTTTGCTGGTCCTAAAACAGTTTAAAGAATAAATTTCATCGGCGATTGTGAATATATTAATTAACGAAAGACTACTAATTATTTTAAAAAGATGTACTAATCTAAATTTCATTAATTATTTTGAAAATATTCAGTAAATGAGAGTGAAGAAGGAAATTATTTTATTATACCGATTTATCCTTTTCATTATACCTTAAAATTCGTTATTGTCAGAATTAACAGATCTAGAGCGGCTTCAAGTCGCGTTCTTAAATTTGATTTTAATGCATGCATAAATTGAAAATGAATAAGCTGAAATGTGGTTTACAATACCATAGAAACCAAAAAGGAAAAAATTAAGGGTTGAGAATCGTAATCAGAAAAACATGCTTATTTTTTTGTCGAATTTGGGTATTCGGTTTGAAATATTAATGAAATTTTTCCTAAATTAATATCTTTTTCATAATTCCTTCATTATATTGTTCTTAAAAAAACATTCTTTTAAAATTTCTTTCTTCGCAAGCATTTCAATCGAATAATTTCATGAGAATAACGGAAATATTAAATAAATAGTGGATTATTATTTGAATATACAGGAGAGACCCGATTATCCGAGTTAATGGGGACTGCAACAAACTCGGATAACTGAAAAACTCGGTTAAAGCGAAGAGTATAAAAACGGATAGAAAAAGAGAAGGTATAAATGTAATATATTTAAGAAATACAAAATGTATACGAGTATACCACATACAATTCATATTATAATTAAAAAGCTTACTTAAAAACATTTAAAAAGCATACTTTACGAGAATTAAATAGTTTATACTTAAAAAAAGTCCTTAATCGTTTTTTGTTCTACATAACTTTGGCGCTTTTCTGTAGTAATGTTTCGCCTTTTTTAGGGATAACAGGAAGGCTGGTGTCGACTCTTTTTGTTGTTCTATATAATCAATAGTACATTCGATAGCTTTTAGTCCATCTGTATGAGAGATTTTTATATGTTGATTTTAATAATCACTGTCTTCATCATCTTCGCTAGAATCATTATCATTATTGACGATATTAACGATAATTTCATCAGACCAAGGTGTTGGATTTTGTTTTTATGAGTGTTTGGAAGATAAAATTCAGATTTATTTTTCAGCGGTTTTTTTAAAAATAAACTAGAACAAAAAAAATCCTTGAAATATTTGATAGCTCGGTTAAAGCGGAAACTCGGATAACCGGGGCTCGGATAATCGGGACTCTACTGTAAATTGAATTACAGCTTTCGAAAAGGAAAAAAAAATATCTAATGCTGTCTCATAGGGTTGAATATTGCTGGCCAATCAATCCATCCTCATTACCTTATTATCATTATCTTATTATTATCAAAACTTCATTATCTCGTGAGTTGCACTGTGGGCCAGAAGACTATGATCTTTGGTCAAAAGTAAAACATTAATTTTTTAAATAAAATATGTGTAGGCAGTTTTAGTATATTCCAAATTAAGTATTCATAATCATTCCAAACATTATAATTTACTTTTGGGACCGACGAGAGTACAATTTCATGAAAAATATGTTTAAAAAATTGCTTTAAATGTAACTTTTAAATTTTTATTTTCGAAATATGTATAGGAATTTCACCTTACTGTTACATTTTCATCAGAGTAACTAGTGTTAATTTATAGTGGAATTTTTCAATTTGTTGGATTAGTTAATATTCTTGACAAATTTATAGTTTATATCTTATCATTTGACATTTTACAATGTATGAATCACTTTCGAAAATTAGTTTCAAAAAGTTCCACGAGGTAATTAGCTAAATTATTTTTTGTTGTCTTCCTTGATGTCTCTTCTTTCGGAAAAACCAGCCCCATTTTGCTCGTATTGCAAAGGTGGACTAAATATACCGAAAAACAAAAATTATGTTTTCTTTTTTCTTCATGTTTTCGCGTTATTTTGTAATTAATTCTCGTTATTTTATAATATTACTTCGGAAATATAATTTGCTTTTCATTTTTAATATAAAATTACGAAAATTATTCTATTTTCATTGCTATATTTAATTATTTAAACGTGCTATATTATTTTTTTTTATTTTTGCTCGCCATATTTCAGCAACCATTTTGTTTTTTTTTGGGGTATTTTTAGAGTATTTCAAAATTTCAACTATGAATTCAATTCACCGGCACCTAAAAATCCCAAAATGCAAATTTTGAAACAAATTTTATCGAAATACTAACTTTAACCACGAAGCCTTGGATGCTGGCCCACTGTGAGATTTAGATAACGGTGAATATCCTCCTGAAACCGTGATACAGCCCCTTTAAAATTAAAAATTTTCACTCAGCATTTGTGTAATTAAATTTGCAATACAAAAATAGATAATTTTTTGCTGCCGAAAGAAATTCCAAAGAAAAAAAAAACTAAATTATGACTTTCTAAAGAAAACGTCTCCATTTTAAGCGAGCTTTCACATTTCCTGGGTGAAAATTATTACTAAATCGTACCTTACTCATCCTCAGGAAATACAGGTCACTACTGCTGACCGATGGGCAAAATCTTGGTTTCAAATGTCCCAGTGAACATTGTAAAAAAAAAGTGAAATAGTATTAAAAAAAAATACCGTTAAAAGAGAGATTTACAAGGAAACAATTTCTTTTATTCACTTTATTTTTATTTTAAAACAAATTCGAACAATGAAAGTATGAATTTTTCGATTGCCATTTCGAATTTTTTAATTGCTTTTTTATGAGGTTCAGAAAGTTCGGACTAATACTAAATAATAATTCGGTTAATACCATATATATATATATATACATGTTACCGGCAAAGTATGAAATTCGGCGCTCTATAGAATGCCTAGGCATTGTATATAATGCCTAAAACTAGCCGTCAGTGTGTGAAACGATTTATATTTCTAACACTTCCTAGGCATTCTATAGAATGCCAAGTGAGAAGCCGGCAAGTATAAAATCTCCCACGGCCAGGATAGTAAAAGTGATGATATCTTGTGCAATATTTGTTTCAAAACTGAAAATGCTACCGAAAGTAAAAAAAAAAAAAAAAAAAANAAAAAAAAAAAAAAAAAAAAAAAAAAAAAAAAAAAAAAAAAAACTTATAAAGCCAATCTCGAAATACGAGTCAAAAAAAAAAATTTCGGAATGATTTCGGAAAAAATGAATTTTTTTATTATTTTCATCATTATTTCACTCTCATTATTTTTTCAGAATAACATTTTTATTTTTGAGAAATGCGCGACATTTACAGAATAACCTCATCAGAGGACGTTTCTTTCATACTTAGCCAAAATAGCATTTGTCATTCCATAAAATGCCTAGGTATTATATAAAATTCCTAGGGAAAGTATGTAATACTTCTCATATTTTATACCTTGTATATTATAAAACATCCAGCATTATGTACAATGCCTAGGCATTCAGCAGAACGCCGACGTTTCATACTTTGTCGATAACATATATTTGAAATTGAAGGTTTGTTTTAATGTTAAGGTTGTTAGAGATTAGTGTCATAACTGCATGCAATAATTTACTACACAAATTATTATAATTTCTTGGCGAAATGACTGAATGGGAGTCTTTTAAAAGAGCATATCAGGAGGGAAAAAAAGATTTTATTTTTTTACAAGTGTAATTATTACATTCATACTTTTTTTCTCTCCAAAAATATAAATGAATAAATATAATACAGCATTTTATTCAATGGCTAAATTACTCTCAAATAGTAAACGAAATAGAGTTCGGTATTGATTCTGTGATTCCAATCATTGAATTGATCGGCGATTAGAATCATCCTGCAACTGATTCGAATCAGTAAGTGAACTTATTTAATGTCCTACTCCGTCGTCACGATTTAAGATAAATCCTCTGAACAATGCATGAATCTGATGTCTTCCTCCAGTTCGTTCATGACTTGCTTCTTAGATTTGAACTTGGAGAGCCTGTTTTGCTTGAAGACATCTATTTCATAACACCAGCGCTTGTCATTCACCCTCAGAACGAAACTCTTGTGCTTCTCCAGTTGCTTCTCACCAGGCATCTTGTGGTTCAACATCGGAAACCTGTCAGCATTCAGCCAGTGTGCCCACAGGAAACAACTGTTCTCGCTTTCAATATTCTGAACTTCCATCCACCTCACTTCCAAAGTCGCGTTTTTGTTCTTAAATTTTTCATTCTTGAGGACAGACTGATTCCACTTTTCGCCACTTTTGATCGCCAGGGCGATGTTGTTAAACTTAATATCTTTCTGGTCAGCGGAAATTAACACCACTTCGCGCTTCTTACCATACTTCACGCCCAGCTGGTAAATACCGGGGGTCTTCGGCGCCAGGTCGTCTTGCACGACATCCACCAGCGGCTTCCAGTTACTGAATCCGAAATTGGAATCGCACACTTCGCACGACTCTTCGAAATCGCATTCCACGACCACTTCCACTTTTTTGGTGGGTGTCGATTTGGGCTTACGCCATGTTGCTTCCTTCCTGGGATAGCACCATTTCTGGATTTTTTCTGAAAATGTGAGGCTCCCACTTTGGCCGATGAGGTCTGTGCCCGGCCAATTGTCCATGTCTTTGGGCTTTATCCCGTTGTTATACCAGTGCGCGCACAAATTGACCAGATCTTTGTCGCTTTTCGATTTGAAATTCATCCAACGGCAGAGGATAACTGATTTGGTGGCTTTGGATCGTTTGTCGGCTACGTGTTCCTTAATACCATCCATGCAGCTGTAGGCCTTTTTCTGGATGTCAGTTATGTCCAGAACAATGTTGCGCACTTCGGTGGAGCTCTTGCTTCTCAGTGCCACCATGAAGAGTCCGGGCTTGCTGGGGATTTTCTCCAAGGTCTCGTCGCTTGATTCCACCCAGTGACCGAATCTCTTGTCGCAGAATTCGCAGTCGTCTGTCCATCCCCTGCAGGGCTCGACAGGAACATCCTCGTCTCCTTTCTTTGACACAAATTCCTCCTTCAGCATTCCTTTCCGAGCTGAAAAAGAAAACAAAAAAAAGTGAGACGATGTATCACGATTTTAGAATTTTGAGCAACAATGTATTGAGAACTAATCGAAGTCAATTTTAAATATTCTATCTTTACCAAGTCCCGATGCTATTCCTACAGGTTTGGAAAAATATGGTCTGGGACTGTCTGGGCATTCACGCAAAGCTTATTTTAATTATTTTTCTTAACTAAATTTTTATTGTATTCCGGATTCCATCCTTAATTCGATAAATGAACATTTCGAATACTGTATTAATTATTTCTTTAAAATCAGAATTGTTATAAATATTTCATTTTTATACTTTTAACCAACGAGAGAGAAAAGCAAAATAAATATCTGAATATTTTATCTGTATGTCTTCATTTCTTTTTAAAACCTAAATATTTATTGTATTCCGAATTCCAACCTTAACTTGATAAAGGACCATTTCGAATAATGTATTAATTATTTCTTTAAAATCATTTATGAGGACAAAGTATCGGAAAAAGGCTAAAAAAATTTAAAAAAAAAAACACTTTGCCGACGAATTTTATAAACAGTATAATTTATTAGTTGACTATAAAATGCAAAGTTAAACAAAAAATTATGTTCACTCTGACATTTTGCACGAGGTTAAAGTAGTGCACCAAAATGCACGACTTAAAGATAGTTTTAGCTGCATATATAACTCTGGCAATGAAATTACCTGTTGAATAATCTACAATTTTAATACTGCATTTAATATTTTCTACTTATATTCATACCGAGAAAAATAGCATTTTATTACATAAATTAAAAAATAGGAAGCTATTTGCCTATATTAAATACCATATCTTCTAAAATATATAAAGACTATGATTCAATAATATTAATCTTATTCATAATATATATTTATATAGTTAATAACATCAAACTAAATTATCTCACAGCAAATGTTATTTCGACTTAAAACAAAATTAAATATGGTTGGTGTAAAAATAATATTAATATTATTTTTACACCAAAAAAAAGTATTACTTATTTTAAATATTTCGCACCCTTGTAATTTTGAACCAAACCCAGAAGACAAGAAAACTCATGGATCAAGCATCGGGAGAAATTTGCCTTCGTGGAAGACTATTTGAAGGAAATAATCCGCGTTTGCGTTACATGGGGAGGAAAACCACGAAAACCATCCTCGGTTAGTCCGATGGCAAAGGGATTCTAACCTATGAACTGTCTACCACTGTGGATATTTTATGTCAGCACTGTGGTCGGTGCGAGCCGGCAATAGAATGCGTACCAGCCAGCCACCTTTGGGATTCGAAACTGGGTCATCTCATTTGGGGGAGAACACTTGATCCCCTGAGCCATTGCGGCTCATTCTTGCGTACATTTCATTTTATAACCGGCGTAAAAAATATTAATTGAGGTAATAAAATAATTTGCATAATTTTAAAAAATCCCATTTTTTACATTGCATCAAAATATTGCATACTTTAATTTTAATAAATAGATGCTTTACTTGTAGAATAAAAAAAAGAACGAAACATTCTTGCAACAGCCAGTTCTAGGCAAGGAATGAACAGGTTCCACAATTTAATTATCAACGAAAAATAACTAATTTATAATTTTTAATATCAATTTTAAAATTTTTTCAAACGATTACTTTTATTGACAAATACGTTATTATGGGAAGAACAAAAAGAAATATATATAACAAAACGAAAATAAAAGAATAAAAGAATAAAAAAACTTTTTTTTCTTCTTTCTTTTTCTTAGGCTATCAACAACGTGCTTATTCAAACGTTTCAAGATAGTCACTATTTTCTTTAAATATTTCTTTTGATTTTTAAAAGTTAACTTTTATAATATATTTAAATTTATAGCCATATTAGTCTTACCAAACCAGAAATTTAGAAAAATTTACAATCGAAATTAGGAAATATAATTGGTTACGGTCACAAAAAATTTTTTTTTTAAAAAAATACCATAATACAGCATTTTTTTGTTTTTGTATTTTCACTGCGAAAACCCACGCTTTAAGCAACGTATTGCATTAAACAAATTTACAAGCTATGCATCACATTATAAAATTATTAAAAAAATAAAAAGAAAGGTGATCACTGCTTATTCTAATCTTGTTGTAATGAGTATTTTAAAGATCATCTTTGTGGGGGAGAGTAAATATCGACATTGTCAACTTTCATCTATGAAAAGTTACCCCAACATAGAATCAAGTTAACATGTCTTATATACTGAGGAATTGGAATTGTATTTTTGTAGTGGTAGACACACTACAGTACTCCCCCACGAGAATTATATCTGTGATAGAATTCGATGAACGGATACCACTAGTTGATTCATTGCTCTTTTGTGAGAAGCCGGGAGAGCTGTATTAAGATCACCGTACTATTGCTGATCGTGAGAGCCGTACTAAGTTCACGGTCGGGGTTGCTCCTGTGTTGCCATTCACAGTCGAGTGCATGTAGGCCGACGTTGTGTGTGATCGAGACAGAATAGCAACAGTGCGAGGAGGTAGATAATGTCGCAGTCACAAGTAGCAAGTCAACTGTTCAATGAGAACAATCCATCGTTTTCGACGTGTTCAAATCGAAGTGGGAGTTTCTGTTAAGGTAGGCGTGTTCTCATCACGTCCGGGTCACCAATGTGGGGAGAGTAGATATAGACGATGTCAACTTTCATCTATGAAAAGTTACCCCAACATAGAATCAAGTTAACATATCTTATATACTGAGGAATTGGAATTGTATTTTTGTAGTGGTAGACACACTACAATTCTCCCCCACGAGAATTACATCTGTGATAGAATTCGATGAACGGATACCACTAGTTGATTTATTCCTCTTTTGTGAGAAGCCGGGAGAGCTGTATTAAGATCACCGTACTATTGCTGATCGTGAGAGCCGTACTAAGTTCACGGTCGGGGTTGCTCCTGTGTTGCCATTCACAGTCGAGTGCATGTAGGCCGACGTTGTGTGTGATCGAGACAGAATAGCAACAGTGCGAGGAGGTAGATAATGTCGCAGTCACAAGTAGCAAGTCAACTGTTCAATGAGAACAATCCATCGTTTTCGACGTGTTCAAATCGAAGTGGGAGTTTCTGTTAAGGTAGGCGTGTTCTCATCACGTCCGGGTCACCAATGTGGGGAGAGTAGATATAGACGATGTCAACTTTCATCTATGAAAAGGTACCCCAACGTAGAATCAAGTTAATATGTCTTATATACTAGGGAATTGGAATTATATTTTTGTAGTGGTAAATGCACTACAATCTTAAAGGTCCTCATTGAAAGAATGAAAATATTAACTACAAAGATATCATAGAAATTTTTTCCACTGTTCAGTTGAAAGTTAACTCTTAAAGTTTGGCCACCCACTGTTAATTTCTAAAGTAGTTTGACATTTGCGTGAATAGCATATTTTCGCCGCCTAGTATTATAGATAGAATATAAAGATTGATAAGTTAATCTGTAGTTTTAATGAGATAGGCGGATGAACTATTGGGCGAATCTGTATCCAAATCATTTTTACCGTACTTATCGGTTAGCTAGGAGCAAGAGAAAAGTCGCCGAAAATTGTAAACATCCACCTATCTTTTCTTCTGTATCTTTTTTTTTTTTCAAATTGTTTTAATTTTAATTATTTTTTAAACACTGAACAAAACGGAGGTTTCCAAAAAATTAAATAAATTTTAAAAAAAAGTAATAAATAAGTATATAAATATAGTTTTGCGCTCGATTAGTCGAAAAGTAAAAATTTTAATTCTAGTTAATAATTATTACCAAAATTAATTAAGAATTAATAGCGTCAGTAATACAGCTATTTTTTAAGTTTTAATAAACGATTTAGTACTATTTCTCTATTAATTTTGCTTCAATATATTTGTTTCATTTCTAATTAATACTTCTTACCAAAATTAATTAAGCATCATTTGCGTTTATAATAGTTTGATTTTTTACGTGTCTCTCAAACGATTTCGTACCATTTCTCCGTTAATTTCTCTTTTTAATACACAGCTTATATTTTATTTCAATTGGTACTTATTACCAAAATTAATTAAAATTCACGAATTTTCACGATTATCCTAAAAGAATAAGCACATTTCCTCTATTAATTTTGCTTTCTAGAATAAACTAGCTGTTTTTTTAAAAATTAAATTACTACCTAATAAGAAATAATTTAATCAATCATCAATGGCGTCAAAAAGAGTATGGCGGTATTTTACGTTTCCTCTATACGAATTAGTACTATTTCTCCATTAATTTTGCTTTTCAATAGAAAACTTATGACTATTTTATTTCAATTACAATTAGTTTTTAATTATTAAGTTTTATAAAATTACGTTTTAAAAGCATACATATAAACAAAATAAACAAGTGGTTTCAAATAATTTCGAAAATATTAATTTGGTTCGCCAGTGCTATTATTTTCATGCTGATCAGTGAGTTTCTCTGACATAGCATTTAAGTGCAAGAGCAAAAAACTTCCGTTTTTAATGAGGAGCTAGCAAATATCACTACGTGTTCTTAAAAATGTTTGAAAGAAAGAAAGAATACAGTCTCTCATTTTTATCAATGGCGAGTTCTAAGCCAATTTAAAAAAAATTCTATTTTTGATACGGCTCTACCGAACGAACTAATTGAAAATTTCGAACGAACTAAAGGATCGAGGGCTAAATTTGCTCTTTGTCCTTAATGTCCAAATTTTCGAAAGATGAAACAAATGGTAGACATATTAAAAAGAGACACATACAAACTCTTCATTTTATTATTATAGATTCAAGTATCTATTAATTTGTCTAATCCATTCTTTAAAACCAGCATATGGGTTAAAGTTAATCTACATGCAATGTGACCCATCCATTTTTATATTAGATATAGAGTCTATTAGATAGTATAGAGCTATATACACCAAAAAATTTGTGATTAATTGGAATAGATGTAGCGTTACTGAGAATTATAATATACTATAATATATGGTGGGATAAGTTTTAAAATGTTAAGATTAAAAGAAAACCCATATTCCTAAAAAACACGTTTTTAACACTTTCGAGTGTTTTTTAAACTAAGAAAGTAAATTAAAGACTTAAAATAAAAATCCTAACAAAGCCTTTCTTTTTTCTTTCACAAAAAAATTCCCATCTGATTTTTATTTGAATTGGTTTTTTTAAACCCATAACTTAATATTATTCTGAAAAAAATCAACAAAATGTCATTTATCCATGTTTCACTGATTTTTTCAATTGTGAAGATTTAGTAACCATCATGACATAAACCCAGATTATCAACAACTGGGATAGGTTGTTAATGACATAATAATTCTTAAAAAGTGCGAAAACTCTAAAAACCTTCAAAAGTGACTTTAAAATGAAAAATAGCGCCATTAAAAATTTTCGAGAACATTTTCAATATGAACGCAGAAAAAAAATTAAGTATAAACCGTAACTTGTATTTATAAATTAAAGAAAAAATAAAATAATAATTAAATACGCAACTTATGAATAAAATAAGAAGTAAATAATTACTCGACACAGATAAATTATAATAATTTATTAATTCTTAGTTCCAATCATGGAATTACCAAATGTTTTTTGATATTCTTAAAGATCGCCTGTTATCCAATAGCAAATTCTTATATCTTGAAAAACTCTGTTTTCAAGAATTACACGTTTTGGAGAATATTTAGAATAACAAATTTCAATGCGAACAAAAATTATAAAATTTTAATAAAATATTAAAATTTTGTTATTATAAAATAAAAAAATAAAAAATAATGACCTATATAAGAAAAAAAGCTCTAAAAATGAAAGAAAATTCATTAATCACTAGCCCTAAAAATAACTTCAAAACAGATAACATTCACAATCATAAGCTTTACTTTCACATTGATAGAAATATAAAGGTTCAAAATTCAGACATCGAATATATATACGCAGTGCGTTTAAATCAAGTTCTACTGGTTTATTCTACTAATGCATAGATAGATAATAGTAAGATAATAATAAATTCAAAGCAGTCATTTGACAACTTTGAATTAATTGTTATTTTACTACACCTACAACTTGTTATCACAATATTACATACATTCTCATAAACCGTAAAAAATTATAAATGAAACAAAAGCACAATCAAGCTAAAACTGAATAAATTATTCAAAGCATTTTTTTTCTTGATAAATACAAAAGAAAGAAATGCTTACCCATGATAGAAATAAAGATATTCTGCTCTTTCAAATATTACAGTCGGTAAACCAATGCAGATTTTGATTGACGAAGAGAACCGCTATCGCGTTATAAACAAAAAAATCAACCCTTGCACAATGTTTTGAGTCCATGGTTGCTATACGATTTTACACGCAACGTTGTGCAATCTTTTAGAGAGAACTAATAGGATCGAAGACTGTTTTATCGCTTTTTTGGCAACCCTTAAGTGAGCCAATCAGAGTTTTTTGCCAAACGGAAGCTTTGCTTTATCTGCAAGTTAATACTTTTATGCATATGTGTGTACTAATTTTCCTCTATTTAAGTCTTATTATAACGTACTTAGCCTTTTTATATTTTCAATTAACGAAAAAGAGAAAAAAAAAGGACAACTCACTAGATCAGATCAGATAAACTTCGATTCATCTATTCTTTGTCCTTTTTAAATTTTATTTCAACTGCCTAAGTTTTATTACAAAACAGACAAAAAAAAATCTCTTATACATATTACCAATTTTTATATCTTAGATCTTTTCAAATATAAATGTTTACATTTTAATGCATAAATTATATAAATTCATTTTCTATGTTTTTTTCTGTACAACACAGATGGCAGCACGATTAAAATTATCCTAAGTTTTTATTTTTCCCTTCACTTGTATATTTTGTTCATGTGTTTTCAAAATTATAAAAATAATATAACCAATTGAAAAAAATGAAGTATTTTTTTTAAAAAAAAGTTTAGAGAATTCCATTTCCCTTAAAAATGGAAAAGATAACATATGTAAAAGAACATTTATACATTTTTCTTGAAATAAATCATGAGATAAGTTTTAACTTAAAAAAACAAATTCGAAATTTTTTTTATTTGAACTTTTACACAGAAAAGCAACGCTTTAAAAAAAATTACTCTTAAGCGTGTCAATAAAATACATAAAATTCCCGAAATGTTCGAAGAAAATTTATTTATTTATGTATATGAAAGAATGCATTTAAATTTGTCTTGAAATTAATCATTAGATAAGTTTTACCAATTTTTTAAACATTTAGAATTTTTTTATTTTAACTTTTGCACTGAAAAGCAATCACTAAAAAATATTCTCTTGCATGTGTGAAGAAAAAATAATAAAATTGCCGAAATGTTCCAAAACAATTTAATTCATTCATTTATTTATTTTTTATATATTTTTTTATTCGGAGCTTCTAATGTTTCAGAAAGTAGAGAAAAATAATTTTTTATAATTAAAGAAATAAAGATAGCAAGAGCATCCTATAAATTAAAAATAAAATATCTTTTAAATTTCCTTTACTTTAAAAAAAAAATGATAAAGACAATCGTCAAAAGTATAAATGATGAAAAACAGGGCAGTTTAACAGCTTGCAGGGCCCCAGGGCACAGAAATGTCTCTATATCAATTCATACTGTTTAAAATCGAAATAAAAAATTCCACATACATGAAATAAAATATTTTTTAGGGAAAAACTAAAATGTTAATTCTAGCATCCTTTATTCTAAATTTAGAACTAAAATACCGGATAAGAATCATGCGTTTCGTTTTCAAGAATAAATTAAGAGAGTTGAGGTAAAGAATTAACATAAAAATATTTGTTAAAGCTTTTTGTGACATACCCCCCCCCCCGTAGACAAAATGTGTAACCTATTATAAGAGTAAAAATTTTTATTTTCGTGGAACTTTGGATATCGAGAGTTTTTATAAACTTTAAACTGAACTACGTTTGGTTTTTAAATTCAACTTAAATTTTTTTTTTTTTTTGGCGTAAGCACTTATATTGTTAAAAGGATTAGTATATTGTTTTAATAGAGGACTTATTGAAAAAAAAATGGAAGTTAAGATGTGTAATTATTTAAAATTCGAGTTTGAAAAATGATATTCACAATATTAATTGAAATGTTCATAATGGTATTTTAGCAAAATGTTTTCATGATAATTGCATTTCATATATTTCAAGTAACTACGTTTAATAAATTTAAAATCTAAACTATTATGTTTATTTATTGATTTTTTTTTAATTGGGAAAAATCTTCTCTCATTTTGTTTATGAGCATTGCGTAGAAATATACAATAACATCGCTTGTAGAGAATCGGGCATTGGTCATTTTATGATGAATACTATGAACTTAACTATAAAAAAAACAACTTTTTATCGTATTTGTGAAGAAAAAAATTTTTTTTTGAATTTTTCTTTGTTGTAAATAGTTATAATTGATTATACTGTATTTTATACGTCTATTAGTTTTTATTAATTTCCTATTTAATTAATATTTTTAAATGGTAAAATATGAAAAATAGTTTAACGCTATTATTCTTATTTTATGGATTTATTATAGTTATTTATTGATAATATAATATGTAGTTAATTTATTGAAGTATATTGAGATAATTAAAGCGCATATTATTGAATTGAATAAGTGAATATGGTGATGTTTACAAATATTATTGTGAAGAGTACACATCGTGAAATAAGTATCTGCTTAAGAGATACTGTGAATTTATGAATGAGCTTTTTCGCTCACATTTTAATTCACATTTATATATATATATATATATATATAGATATNATATATATATATATATAATGAGTGTTATATACTTTGAAATATTATTTAATGTGGTACATATGCGTATTAATTATGAAACTTCAACGTCTTCCTTTTTTCTAATATTGGTCGTTCATTAATTTTTCTTGAAAAGTAAAATATTTTCCTAAGGATTATTATAATTGCTACAATTGCCCTACAATGATTCTTATAATTATTGCATTAAAATAAAAAGTAAATATTTTGTATAATGTAATAAAGGAAGAAAGAATTATATTTTAAGAATGTATTTCATATACAGGTGAAAGGTTTTGCATAACATGCTTGAAAATATTTTATTATTTAGGAATTAATACGTAAATTGTCCTTTAAAGAAATAATATTAGATAATGATAAAAGCAAAAGTATACAGAAATAAATTTTTGCCATTGTGTAAGTAAGCTTTTGAAGCACTGAAGAATGTACTTATAATTCTGAATGAATTGGGCTTTTGACAGGTTCGTCAAATTTTAAGAACTTTTCAGCAAGAAATTATTTAAATTTTTTTACTTTAATGAATAAACTTACTACTTTAATACATTTTTAAAAATTTCAAATTTTTATAAATTACAAAACTTTTAACATTGAAACATCTAAATAATTTATATTGTTATTTGGATATTTAACTTCTTTACTTTTATAGTACAGTTTTGTTATGTTTTAGACATTATACCGAATTTAAAATTAGCGAAGTGACACAGTGATTGGTCCTTTCTGGCTCTGTACAATTTTAGTCCTATTTTTTTAAAATTATCTTTGCACTACTTTTTCTTAAATTATCTTTGTTCCACTTTTTCTTAAAATTATCTTTGCGCCACCTTTTTTTAAATTATCTTTGCACCACTTTTTTAAAATTTATCTTTGCACCACTTTTTTTTAAACTTATCTTTGCATTATTTTTATCCTATTTTTTAAATGATCTCAAAACTATGTTTGCACTATTTTTTTTTAATTATCTCACACTGATAATTAATTTTATTTGTTATAGAGGAGTGACACAATGATGTCAAAAACGAGTTGGATATTGCTGGCGATGGCTCTGCACTATTTCGGTCCCGTCACAACTAGACTGCTGCAGCCAAACAAGAGGGCCCTCATAGACGAAGAGAGCCTCCTTTCCTACGACAGACCGAGCCACGTGAATAACTATTTGACATTCCTAAGCAGACTCTCCAAAAAGAACATCATCCTTCCTGAAAATGACCGCACCCCACCGGACACTCACAGTCCCAAGAGGGACAACAGGAAGTTCCAGACGCAAGGATGGCGTTGACATTCTTCTAAGTATAGGAAATAACTTTCATTTTATGTACGAAACATAACTGACGATAACATGTTTAATAAAAGGAAGTACTTTGAAATAATCAGTCGTTATTTATAGATGTTAAATATTCAACATGACAACAAAATATTCATTGTTATTACGAATTTAATATAATTTCATTAAAATTTATCACAATCAAAACCTCTTTTTCAATAACTATACTGAAACTGCCCCAGTTTCAATAGGTCTTATATCTATAATAATAAAATGAGTTAATCTCTATGTGTATCTCTTGTATAATTCCAGAACTGTTTGTTCTAACATCCTGAAATTCGGACAGTGAATGAAAGAGACAATTTTTAGCTCCTGACCTTAAAAATCGTTCATAAGTTTTAACTAGATCGATCGGCAGAGACGTATGAAAAATAGAATTTTCTAATTGGTTCAGAACTAGCCATTGATTAAAATTAAATTGCAGACGATTCCAAATATTTTAAAGATAACATCGGTGATGTTTGCTAGCCTATAGCTTTTTTAATTAAAAAAAAAGGAATTTGTTGCAGTTCTTTGATATTTAATTATCTTTTATTCGTTATGTCAGATAAACTGGTAGCATTTTCAGGCTAAATGACACGAGGTAACCTAGTCGAAGCAATAAATGGTTTTGGTTAATTATTTTTTATAAATATGTGTAAAAAAATTCTTGAGCTGGATAGAAAAAAAAAACAGAAAAAAAACAACACATTTATCAATTTCAGATTGGTTTAGAAAGTTTAATGTAAAATTCTTCTATATAGCTTCGTCATATGGAATTTCATCTATATAGATGCTTTAGATAATTAAATCTTTGAATAAGAAGAAATTCATCTTCAAGCACCCAGTGAGATGTCAGATGAAATTTGTTTTTTCTTGAAGTGAAATTTTTTTCCTGTACAATCACTTTAGGTCCTCTCATTGAATATGATGTCAAAGTTTGGAAAGAGTGGTGCCAACTCAAATCGATGTTCACATTATTTTAAAAAGTCGAAATTACGTGGCTTTTTTGCTAGTTCAGAAAAAGGGGTTTGGCCATAGATTGGATGTGTATGTGTGAGCAATGTACGTCAATGCAATGAACATCGCTCTCCGGGCCCGGGTGATACTGAAAACGGCTACCTCAACTCAATATTGAAAAAGAAATTTTTTTTAAAAAAATCCTTAAATTGTTTTGCTGGTAGAAAAATATTTTATTTTAAATTACAATATTTTTATCAGAAAATTATAAAATCTATATCCTATCTAAATGTTGATTCAGGAAACATGTAAAAAAGATAAATTACACTTAACGCATTAAAGGTTAAAAAAAGAAAACTGCTAGTTTAATAAATGATATTATCACCTCAAGTATTCTAGAATTGATATTTATTGTAGGTAATATTTATAATGAGCATAATCTTTTGACATTGAAATATATAAGTATAAACATTAAAATCCATTTCTTTCGTGCTTTAGCAGATGCAAACATTTTCATAGGCTCTTCAAAACCATATGTTTTTTAGGATTTATTTTCGATGTACATTATTGTTGCGATTTGCATTCAATGCGTCGAAGTTTTGTTTCAAATTAGTTTAAAAACGAAAATTTTTGCCGTCGACTAATGTAAAACAATTTATAAATATTTTTATGCATTTATAAACTCATCAGACCATTCACTAAAACCTTCAATGATTCGCGCATAAACAAATTCACTAATCCATTGACTGGTATTCTTTCATGTCTCATTCTTACTTTATTTACCCGCTGTATCTAAAAACGTTCATGATGACAGTGTTCATGACGAAGCGACAAGCCTACTCGTAATAAATTGTTTATGAAAAATACCTTAAAATTAACCGTTAAAATAAACTAAAAATTACCTCGTATAAAACACATAATTAAAAGAACGGACAGCTGTCAGAGTAATTAAATGATTATTCCAATCAAATAACTTTTGGTAAATATTAGATATTCACCACATTAATATTGGTATATAAAACTATATAGAAATAAATAAAATCCTATGTGCAAAGCTAAATACAACAATTATAAGCATTTCAGATGAACAAAGAAGTTATCAAACCCAGCTATTAGCAAATATTTTTAGAGAAAAAGTCTTACTTAATTATCCAGAAAAATCTTTTCATAATTATTTTAAATATATATGAAAGAAAACAATAAATATGCTATTTTAAATCTATATTACCGCCCCTTTCGCAGACCCTGGCAATATATATATAAATAATACAACTTTGATGTTTACAAATATTTTTATTGACTGAGGAAAAAACATGTAGATAATTTTCAAACAGGTTGTTAGTTAAAAACAGAAATAAGCAATGCATATAAAGATACAATTTTTAAGACAGATAAAGTAAAGATAATGTAAATACCAAGCATACAAATTTTCAGAAAAAAGTTACATATTTATTGTCAAACACATTGAAAGAGTTTTTTTTTCCCATTACATTTCAATAAAGTCATTTAACACTAGAGTAAAGTAAAGAAATGTCACATACCATACATTTAAAGAAAAAGAATAGAGGATGCAGTTGTAATCCAAAAGCTATTGGGCGATATTTTAGAATTATAATGAATAGAAATCTGCGAAACAGATTTAAGTACAATACATGTTCCTTTTAAACAGAAGTTTTTTGTAATAAAAAGTAAGTAACAATGTTCAGTCTCAAAATTATACATTCAAAAAGCTTCAAAAATATGGCTAAATAATTGAGAGAAAAAAACAATTATAAGTCACAAAAATCCATGACTAAATTTAATTTACAATGAAAAGGAAATATCTAAAATATATCTTACCAAATAAAATTTAAGAGAAAGTGAAAGCAAAACATATTTATTTTATATACTTTTATTTATTTACCATATTAGAAGAAATAGACGATTCTCATAAAAAAAAAGTTCATCAGCAAAAGCTAGGTGTATAAGTAATTTCTTAAACAGTAAAAAAAAATAAATAAATAAAAATGCTGATTGCACAGCTACAGAATAAATGCAAAGTATAAAGTACTTAAGTATATGTGTAGTATAAATGCAAATAAAAGGAGGCAAAAATCTACTATTTATTATCAAAAAATTTACTATTTTTTAACAGACAACTATGTTTTCTAATTTCAGATTACCACAAAAGAGAGAAAGAAAACTGTTGATAATAAAGGAAATAGTAAAAACATAGTTATTTTATTTCAAAATACTTGAAAAGGAATACACTGAGAGTTACGATTTGGAACTTTTTGATGTTCTTAAAAAGAGGAAAATTTTTTTTGAAAACAGGACTCTTTTTTCACAAAAAAAAATTTAAATAATGCAGGATATTAAAATAACTGATATTTTATGATCTAAAGTTTGTGATTAATCTAGATTTAAACGAATAGAGAAATCAGAAAATGAAATTTTTCTTAGCGATTAGAGCAGTAAAATAGGGGCCGATCAAATATTATACGACCATATATTTTTGGCAAGTTTTTGCCTTCTGTTACCCCTAGTCAGTCATAAGAAAGTCACAATATCTCCCTTGTTCTTCACTTTTGACACTAAATTTTGTAGTAATCTAAATTTAGGATGAATTAAAATTAAAGATACAACTTTGCATAAAGCAAGATTTACTTTTTCAATCATTTTTTAAAAAATTTTTGAGTAGAATATTCTTTAGGGAATCTTCTTTTTCATGTTTTCTCTCTGGGGTCAAAATTGTTGACCTCAAACTCTTTGAAAGTTTTTTTTCCCCCAATTTAATTTCAAATATTTCCACTTTTAATTCATTTTTGTATTTAAATTTTTTTTTGAGAATAGAAATCTAACGTAAGCATTATTCGCACCCCTTCTCAAAAAAATTAAGTACAAAACATGCTTCTAAAATTTTTGGCATTTTTTTTTTTCATTTTCAGATCATATTTGATGGTTTGCAGAAGCATTTTTTAATTTTTCTGAATTTTTTAAAAATTTTTATGTCTTCAACATTCTAGCCCTGATAATAATGCATTAAGATTTGTAAAGAACAAATCCTTTTTACCATTTATAACACTTTGTCATTTAAGCATGAAAGTATCAATTGAATAGGAAAATGCAAACAATTAAATGGTTGACAAAATGCCTGTTGCATGAATTAAGAAAACATATGTCTTGAACACAAAAGATCCCCTAATGAAAAGAAAGGTAGACTTTCAAACATTAAATATTACACATAAAATAAGTACCTACGATTTAGCATAAACTAAGAAAAAAAATTACTCTCTCATCCCTTTCAATGATAAAACAGAGAAAATATTTCCTCAGTGTCGTTATTAGAAGATTGAATAAAAAGTATATCTTATGAAAAAAATCAAAAAAAAAAATCTGCATTTATGTACATTTTATTTTATTTACATTTAAAAGATAAAAAAGATCATTAAAAAAGAGATTCTATATATTTAATTACAGATCTGGTAACTTTTTTGTAAAAATTTTATTCACAAAAAACTAAGTAAATAAAAACGTTAAATAAAAAAATAGTGAAAAAAAATGCATTTGAAAAACAATAGGCTATTTTGTTTTCCCTTTAATAAATCTATATTAAAATTTAATACTACAAAATAATAATTTACAGCAAAATTTTTTAAATTTTGACAAGACGATTGATAACACTCACATACCAACAAGTTGGAAAAATACAGCATTTGAAAATTATCTTACGATTAATGGAATGTTAATAACTAAGATGTTTTGATAAGTAAGCTTACACAACTGCATAAAAATAAAACTATTAATATAAATATGAAAGACTTAGATAGCAAAATGGATCATAAGAGCCTCAGTTTAATTGATAAAACTTTATAAATGTAAATTAAAGGATGATTTATAATAAGCCACGTTGAAAATACAAAATTTCCAGCACCTCAGCTTTTTATCAATTGAAGTTATATTTGATTAATTTTTATGCATACAGGTTTGCCACAGAAAAATGAACGATACAGTTGCTTTTAGTAGCCTAAAGCGTGAAAATAGTAGCCTAAAACTATGAAAATAGTTACCTAAATAAGAACAAAAGTACGACTAAAATTTTATTAAATGAGTTAATTGTCACAAACCATGATCCATTTAGTCAAGTTGATGGTAAATATGATATTTTTTACAAAAACATGAGTGTTCTAGCGCTAAATTTTTATAGTAAAAAAATTTGTATATTATCAGAAAATTAAATACAAACTAATAGAAATCATAAAAAAAAAAAAATTTTTTTTCATTAAAAAAAGTATATATACTTTCTCTAAAAAATGTTTAGTTTAACCAATAATTGATTTAGCAAAGACAGATATATATTGCGCAAAATGATTTTTGAAATTCACGCATTGTAATATCATATTAAGAAATGAGTTTTTTAAAATGATGCAGAATTTTGTAGCAATAACCGTTGAAAAGGCGATTGAGAAACAAAATAGATTCACAAAATCTGTGCAAATTGAGTGCATTAAAAAGTAATGACTCAAATTTGCAATTCAACACTTTATTTTTTAAGGAAAAAAATATCATGTTCAGAAACTACCACGGGCCACAGTTTGTGAACCCAATTTATGCTAAAAAAAACATTGCTAGGAGCACAGAAAAGTTTCCCAATAGTCTCCTTTTTCTGAAAATAGTTGCTTTTTTAGCCTTTTCAGGCAAAAAAGATGCCATAGTCGACTCAGGTCGAAAATAGTTGCATAAAGTCGCCTGTGGCAACACTACATAGTGAAAAGTGTTTAATTATAAAACAGCGATGTACAGACAGGTAGAGCAAAGGGCCGAGCCAGGCATCCACTTAAAGGTCATTAATTGTTGACATTAAAAGTTTAAATCTATTATTAGGTTGCGAAATTTCATTTTTTGATTGGGTAAACATTTGTTCCAAGATAAATATTTTATCAGCTATCAGTAATCAGAAGTACAATAAGACAGAAATGCACAGTTATCATTAATGAAATTCAAATTAGCACAATTTTTAAGTGCATATGCTACTAGGTACATAATATTAATAAAATTATGTATGAATTTAATATTAAGTAAAAATAAGTAAATCTTAGATAAAGGTTCTAAATAAAAATTATACAACACTAAAATTTTTTATTTCATTATAAAAATTCAATTGATTACTTGGAATTAATGTTCTAGTGTTAGGTTAAATTAGAACTATAGTTTGTCTACAGTAAGAACTCCCCTAGCCATTTGTCTAAATCCGTGACGGTGACTATGGTAATGTTGTATAACTATTTCAAGTAGGGGTGTGGGGTAGGAAAGGTAATCTTTTTCTTTGGTCTATTGTGTTAGCCTGCGAGTGAAGAGAAGCTACAATCCCTGAAATGCACTAGTCTTGTTTCCATAGCAGCAGACGGTCTCAGACTTTGTGGCGGGGAGAGTTCCTACTGTAGGCAAACTATAGTCCTTATTGCCTTAATAATCATTGTGTATTTGAACCACTAAAAACTATTGCTCATAACGTTGCAGATTTAATTTTTTATTTCTATACAATGAGAAGGTTAAGTTTCAGAATAGCCTGTTGGAAGCGGAAAAAATTATATTTCTTTGCTTTTTTGTTTTAATATTTTTTGTTTCGTTATTTGCTTTGCTTTTTTGTTTCTATAAAATCTTTTTTTTTTTTTTTTTTTTTATTTAATGCTTTTAGAATTGTTTAAGGAGGAGAAAAAATTAGTGTTTATTAGTTGAAAACAACAAAATTTCACAATTCATGAAAGTAAAGAAGAAATAAACTTATTTTAAGCAGATTATTTTGGAAATCGAAAACTGTGATTTTTATTACTCTATAGTAAGACAATTTTAACTATGCAATTGTAATAAATATAGAAAAATCCTAATAAATGGCAACTCTGGCAATAATAGATGCTCTTTAAAACAAATTTAATTATAAAGTTTTTAGGATGGTTCAATAAAGAGAAATAAAACTAATAAATCTTAAATATTCCTTAAGTTTAAGAAATACAATAAGAAAATTAGTTTATTTCTAACATATACATTAAATCTCCATGACGTAAACCTTGAAAAACAAGACTTTACATTATACAAAATTTTGTGTTACATAGACCATTTTAAATATCATAAAATTTATCAACAAAATATGGCAATATATGTAGAAAATATATTAATATAAATGGTTTAAAGTAATTCTCCAGTAAAAATACTTTAAAATACAATATGCACTAAGTAATTTTTATTTATAGAAAAAAAAAATTATCAGGAACATTAGAAATAAAATCAAACAAATTCGTCAATTTTTGCTTTCTACAGAGTGTGTAGCCAAATCTTTCAACAAAAAATAAGCACCTTTTAAGTTTTTTTTAAGTACTCAAAAATAATTTTTAAGCACTATATACATTAACAAAATGTAAAATAACTTTCAAAGACATGGTCATGGTAAAATAACTAGTTTCTGGAAAAGAACACTAGTTTTTATTAAGTATTATAAAATGATCAAGAGAATTTTCCGGTTCGATATCAGACGGTGAAAAATGAAGCCTGAAATTGAGAATATCTTGCAAAATACAGCAGAGTTGCACATGAGAGAGCAAGAATCTCACCGAACCCAGCTCAGTAGACTCACATGCGGACCAGCAAGTATTTAATGAAACATGTAAAACGATTATCATTTTCATACGCTACCGATCGATGGTATGCCAAAATGGATTTTGGTTGAATGTGGTGAAAACATTGAATAGAAAAATGTGAAAAGCACGCTTTTGCATAATACATGGCGAAAATAGACATGGTAAAGAAAAAAATTCTCCTTTTCGAAAATGGAAAATTAAGCACTTTTTAAAAACATCCAATGAAAAAAGCACCTTCAAGGGCTTTTAAGAAACAAAAATCGAAATAAGCACCTTTAAGCCTTTTTAAAAAACGCTATGCACCATGTTTGTAAGTAAGGTGGTTTATGAAATTGTGTTACACAGATTTTTTGGAGAATTAATTTTTACTTATACTCAACTAAAACATGGGTTTAGATTTTTAGAAATTACTCGTTTGTCTTTTTTTTTGGGGGGGGGGGGGAAACAAGGTAATCCAATGATTGCACGCCTCATTTTAAGGATATCTAGTCAGCGAATTTGCCCATACATATCTGTACACCATTGTAAGAAAATTTTCAGCAGTACAGCTATTTTTCAAACTTCTCAGAAATATAAAAAAAAATTAGAAGAGAAAAATAAATAAAAAGAGGAAAATGATTATTAATGATTTTAAAAAAAAAGCTGACAATCCTAGATTTGAGAAAAAGCCTTATATCTGCATTTTTAGTAAAATTTACAATGTAGTATAAATAATAACCTTATTATATAATACAGATTATGAGCAAAAAAAAACAAACTAAATGATATGTTTATACGATCATGAGTTCAAGTTGGGAGAGTCGCTACAGTTTAGTTCAAAATGGATACTTTTTAAAAAATGGATTTAGTCAAAAAAATGTGCTCCAAAAATAAGCCATTTAACAAATGTTCCCCTTAAATAAATAGACTGGTAACAAATAACAGACACATAACTTGGCTAAGGCACTTTCATGATGCATCAAGAATACCTAGAAAAAAGAGAGGAAATACAATTCCTGGAAAAACTGGATTACTTTGATAAAAACATAAAATATTAAAAATCAAGTACAGGAGTAAAAATAACTAAAACAATTTAAATAAAAAAACAGTTTTTAATTACAATAAAAGCTTGATTATCCAGAATGTACAGAAAGAGACAAATCACAGATAAGAGAAAACTCATATGTATTAAGTAATCAAAATCTTTTTATTATTTTGATTTTGTGTGAAAAAAATACCGCTCTTTGGTGATAAAAGCAAAAGTTTTATAAAATTGTAAAAAATAATAACAAGAAGGGGGAAAACTGTACTAGTTTATCAATTATTAAATTTATAAGATTAAAAAAAAGTTGAAATGGCAAAAAGGAAACAAAACAAGGGAAAAGAAACTTTTTATTTTATTTTATTTTAACTTTTACAAAGTAACTGCATTAACTGTTTAAATCTAAAATTCTTGGAGTTTAAAATTAGAGTATCTACTGGAAAAAATATTTCTTTCACAAATTTTTTTTTACTACATATATAATAAAATAAAGAATTTGTGTGTACATGTGTGCATACCCGATTGCGGGCACTAAACATACCACATCCAACATGAAGCTAAGTGGTAAAATTGTAAACGAATTACGAAGTTCAATTTTGGATTTTTTAATTATATTTTAAATTCAGAGATATTTTAAAAAAAAGAGAATTTTCTTATTTGTTAAGTGAGAACCATAGTTTTAACTATAGACTATTTAGATTTGTCAATTATTTCAAAGATAACATCAGTGATGTTTGCTAACTTACAGCTCTAATAAAACAAATTTTATTGCACAGTCTATAATACTTACTCATTTTTTATTCGTTATGACAGATTATCTAAATGATCAATATGATAGTGGTAGCATAGGAGAACCACGCCACCAAATTAATATTTCCGAGGTTATCTGAAACCATGTGTTAGTTTTGTTTATAGTTTATTGAAGCGTGTTACTATAAAACTAAACACTTCAAAATCAACAGTAATGAAAATAAAAAGTTTTGTACTGAATAGCAAAATTAATGGAGAAATAGTACTACTTCATTAAGGAGAAGAGCAAAAAAATGCCAATGTTACTACTGACGCTAATGATAATTAATTTTGGTAACAGTTATTAGTTGAGGTATAAAAAAGCATTGCTCTAAAAAGGAAAATTAATGGGAAAATGGTACTAATGGTGAAAAGGGGGTAAAAATTCCACTAACTATTATTGACATCAACATTACATAACTAATTTTGGTAAAATGCATTAATTTTATCTTATTTTACAACCATTGAATAGCCAAATCAATTTTGGGTTTACGAGTACTAATGTTATACAACTACTATAGCCTTGTAATTTTGAATCCGATCCAGAAAACAAGGGAACTCTTGGATCACGTATTGGAAAAAATTTGCCTTTGTGGAGGACTTTTGATGGAACTAACCCGCATTTGCATTACATGGAGAGGAAATCCACAAAAACCTCCCACGGTTAGCCTGACGACCACTGGTTAAAACTATGCATATAGGGGTTCTAAATTGCAAGTTCCCATTTTAAATTAAGACCACACGTTTAAAAATACTTTATTTTATGAGCGTTGAGTTTTTGAAGGTAATAAAAATGTGTTTAAAATTGTTAAAATTATTTCAAATCTTAAAAATGCTTCATTTTATCTATGTGAAGTTTATTAGTTCGATTTTAAAAAGTATAACATGTTATAGTGGGTTAAAACACTTCTATGGTGGGGTGGGGGTGGCTGCTTGCTATTAAGACAGCCCTGTATGTAGATGCATATTGATTAGCTCTATCCTTGAGAAATCCCTCATTCTCCCTAAAATCAAATTCCTCTACAATTCAAGTGACAAAGTGTGAAATGTATAAAACAGTAAAATTAAGTTGTGTTATAAAGAATCTTACCCAAAGCTTAAATGATGCATTCAGCAACACTTCTGTTCTGAAGGCGATTTGTTTTGACTCCAATAGTCTCAACATGAAAACCAATTTTCTGGAGTGTCTCAGTGGGGAGCATTTTACGTCCATCAAAAACAAAAGCTGGTTTATACATGTTGTCATAGATTTGTTTATAGTCTAAATTCTGAAATAAATAATACATTAAATGTATCAAATAAATCTTTTAAATAAAAAATTTATTCTATGGGGAGATATAAGTATAGCGCGGCTTTCAGAAGAACTACTCCAGACATCAGTCTCGTGTGGTGTAGGTAACTATGGTTACGAGGACAATTAAATTCAAATAGAGGAGTGTGGTGAATAGTTCTATTTTAATCTTGGCATAGATCAGTGAGAGTAAACCAATCGACACTTTCATTTTTCCATTGCTTTCCCCATTAGAAATGTGCTCTCTCTTGTTATTATAGCAGCAGACAGCCCCAAACTTATAGTCTGGAGGAGTTCTTCGCAAAGCCTCACTATAAATTTTGACTTAACACTGATAATTTAATTTTTTATATTTAACACAAACACTTTTTTTTTCTGGTTTTAAATTTCAATAATGCAATGGGTAATATGTATAGATGTTGAATGCAACTGAAATTCTAAACAATATAGCTGAAATTAAGATTAATAATTATTAATAATACCTTTTTTTAAAAAAAGCTCAATTGTAAATAAAATAACACACATACTAAAAAAATTCGCCTCCATAGTTTAGTTACAATTTCAATTTAACGGAAAGTTTCTCAAATTTTTTTTGTTGATATGATAAATTTATATGTAACCAAATCATAATTAAAACAAAAGTCTTTGATAGATTCAGATTAAGTCTAAAACGAAGGGAATTGGAAGATAATTTTTCTAAACACTATTAATACACAGCCTCATTAATATTCAAAGTTTATTATTTTTTTTTAAAATGCAAATGTCTTTATAACAATTTTAAAAGTGCGATTATTATTAGTGCAGAAGCAGCTGGCCTATAATATATTTTTAAATTCCGGCAAAAACTTACAAGAAATTCATCCCATTCAGTACAAATAACGATAGCATGGGTGTTTTTTGCAGCAACATATGGATCAGTAAACGTCGTCACTTGATCTTCCACTGAAACAAATACATAAAACACATTTTCAAGAATAATAAATTTAAATAAGTAAAATATTATTCTGAAATTCAAAATAGTTTTTTTTTAATGACATAATTCCTAACTAACAAATTTGTACTAGATCATTGTCCTGGTTTCAGATTTCACTACTCCTACATCACATTTAGAGAATTATATGAATACCACTTCTTTCTAATAACTCTTTTGTTTCTGTTTCCAAAAAACTGTTTTTGCTGTGTTTTGAGACTCTCTCGAGTAGTATTTCTTGTATACGTGTAATTGTTACCTGATTTATTAGTTGTGCTTCAAAGAAGAATCGTCATTTGAAGATCTGTCATTTCAAGGCGTAAGTATTGCTATTTGAAAAAAGAAATGTTATAAAACACTTCTAACTTTGTTAACAATATACCAACTTTAAAATTTAAACCTAAATAATAATTTATAAATGAACTTAATCTCACTGTTTGAACATTATGCTAACACTAACGTAGGATGGTGCATGGATCGCACCAAGAACAAAGAGTAATAAACAAGTAAAAAGAGACCAAATCAGAACTGCCATAAAAGCAAGTTCTGTCTAAATCAAGCCACCATGTCACCTTTTTTAACAATACATCTCTAAATAACTAAAACAAATTTTCACTTCTAACTCAACAGAATTACTTAATATCATTAATATCTTATGAAACACAGCAGCTTTGAGCTCAGAAATTATATAACTTAATTCTTTTATTCAAAACAAAATTATCTGTTTGAAAACATCACCATGCAGAATAAGGTGTAGTAAGCAGCTGTATACTTTCTAACAGGAAGTAGAGCAAGTCAAGAGCTCATTTCATTGAATGGTATTTTTATTTATATTGAAAATACCATTCATTCTCTTATTAATTTGTGACAAACAGGTAAGAAGTATTCATTTAATTTTTTATAGGTTGACATGGGAGACAGGGTAAAATTTATTTCCAAGAGAAACTTAATTATTTCTCCTAACCTCTCTGTAAAACATAAAGAAGTGTGCATCTTTTTTTATTCTAAAATACTGACTGGAAATATACTAACACAGTATAAGTTTTTTTTTTACTACAGTAATTTTACCAGATTTAATCAATAATAATAAATTAATGCAGTTTAATTTCATAAAGTTGAGGAGTAGCAAAATATTTTTCTGACTAACAAATAAAAAAGCAAAAACAGGGTTTCCTCTCAATTTCAGGAAGAAAAAAATTCCCTAACTTATCCAGGCATATCAGGTAAATTTCCATGGAAATCCATACCATATTTTATCGATAGCATACAATTTTTCATCAAAATTTTGGAATTTTCCAATATTAGATTTTATGAGCAAAAACATACAATGGATGAGAATAAAAGTATGAAAAGTTTCTCTAAAAAGTGGAAATTTATAAAATAATTGTAAGAGATGTCAGAATAATTAAACTTGAATCTCAATAAGTGATTACTGCTACTGACAATTCTAAGACTGGTTATTTTCCAGGAATAATTAATATAGGAATTTTTTTTTTAATAAAAAATTTTAACTTTTCCTGACTATTCCCTGTTTTTTAAGAGTTAAAATAAAATGTCCTGACAATTCCAGAAAACACTTAAAAATGGAATTCTTGAGAGTCATATAAATGGGAGTTCAATGAACCTGAAACACTACTGAATTATACTAAGTAAGTAAGTTTGTAAAAAAAAGTTGAATTACCTTTGTAACAATCTTCAATTCCATCATTATTTGAAAGATCTCTGTAAAAAAAAAGGAACTTTATTAAAAGGAACCACATCAGTGGATCTTTTGGCTGATAGGAATGTACTGACAAGAATGAAAGACACTTTTAAACCACTATCCTTTGGCTGAACAGAGAAATTCAAATTAATTAATGTTTGGTCAATTTTAAAACATGGGAGACAGCTTTAAAATTGTAACTGAATGAATGTAAATATGTTTTATTAAATGCAGAAATACCTAAAAGTAAATATGTTTTATTAAATGCATAAGGTACTTACAGTAGTATTTGTTGTTTTTGGACTTTTGGATCATAGATGTGAAGATAAGCCCCTTCTTCTAAGAGATGCTTGCAGACATAAATGGCAGGAGATTCTCTAAGATTCATAATTAGTTAGAAATATCAAATCACATTCTCGTTCAACAACAAAAAAAAAAAGAACATAAAATGCTAACCTGGTATCACCAGTATTTTTCTTAAAGGAAAATCCAAAAATGGCAATGTTTTTACCAGTAACAGTGTTAAACATGTTTTCTGTGATTCGGCGAGCAAATCGGGTGCGCTGGAAATTGTTCATCTCAATAACCTGAAACATAAAGTAGGATAATGAGAAATGATTAAAAATTCTATTACAAAGACTAATGGTAACAGAGTTCTCATTACTTAGAAAGGGATCGAAGTCAACATTTATTAGCATTTTTGTAAGATCTGTATTTTTCGACACAAGACCAGATAATCTAAAATTAAACTAACTAGTAGTTAAAATTAAACTAAGAAGTAGTAAACTAACAAGGAATTTTTTCTCATTTTTTGAGTATGGTGAGTGGACTTCTCTTATCATGGCTTGATTGTTTTCTTTAACAGTGGCCTTTTTTTCAAAAATTGGATAGTTTAATTGATTAATAAAACTGTTAATATTAATAATGACTCAAAAACTTCCTATAAACCTACCTCTAAAATGTGTTGTGTAATTCACAAGTTGAAAATATGTTAGAACTTATAATAAAGATTTTAGTTTCAATTAAAAGTTAAATAAATGTAGTACAAATTGTTCTTTCTTTATTTCAATGCACATGATTAGAATATAGCTTTTTATGAATGTTAATTTAAGAAACCTATACTGGAAGCTCAAATTGCTATTTTAATAAAAATAGGAAAAACACGATTTTAAATATGGACAAGAAAAGTTTAGTACCAACGAATCTATATTTTTGAAAATTTGAAGCTACAACATTTGGAAGTGTGTGTGGAGAGTTGCGCTTATGAAGTTAGTTTGGAGTTTGTCAATGGAATTACACCTCCAATACCATTTTTTCAGTTTAAGTTAAAAGTTAAATAAATGTTAGTACAAATCATTCTGCCTTTATTTCAATGCACAATTCTGCAATGTGATATAAAATTCACAAATAATTATGTATTCAAAATAAAGACTATGAAGGCGGTGATCATCAGTTCAATTATTAGTAGCATCATTGAAGTATTAAGCATACATTTGGATATTTGAGATACACTTGAATTTGGATATCGGAGCCGCGATGGTTCAGGAGATAGAGCGTTCACCTTCCAATCAGGTGAACCGGATTCGAATCCAGCGATGGCTGGGCGATACGAATTCCGCATCCAGCTCACAATGACCACAGTGCTAATGTGAAATATTCTCAGTGGTAAACTGATCATTGGTTAGAATCCCTTTGCCGTCAGGCTAGGTTCTCGTGGTCTTCCTCTTCATATGAAGCGAATGCGGATTAGTTCCATCAAAAAGTCCTCAAGGAAGGCAAAATTTCTCCCAATATTTGATCCAGGAGTTCCCTTGTCTTCTGGATTGGGTTCAAAATTACAAGGCTACGGAGTTGAATATTAGTAGTAGTAAACACCAAAAAGTTGGGTCGCCTGTTAAACGACGGTTATAAAATTTGGATATCGATAAGGTATATTTATCTCAGAAAAATGAATAAAATCGTGTAAGAGAAATTTATTTAGTAATTATAAATTGGAATATGGAAATAATTTAGCAAAAGCGAATCACCAAAAAGATTGTGAGAATTAGTATAACCATGTAACTAAAACATTTTCGTGGTAAGAAATAAAGAATAAAGAGTTATAAATAGATTTTTGTTCTCGATTTAGTTGCAACAGTGAATTAATTAGTTTTACAATAATATTGAAATAAAAAGTTAGAAGTCACATTAATCGTTAAGAAAAGAATAAGAAATTTTATATTCATTTTTTATAAATTGTAATAAAAATTAAATAATTGGTTTAATTTAATTAAAATTCAGTTAAGAATGATCAAAAAAATAATTTTAAGAAATTTTAAAAGCTAGGAAATATGTAATGCCTATTGTGACATCACAAAAACGTTTTAAAACATCTTGGGAAATGCCTATGAACAACTGCCAATAAAACAACACATGGATTTATGATGGTATATTCACAAATCGAGCTCGTCAAGAAATGTTTATTATTTAAATGTGCTTGTTGCAATAATATAGTAGTTTTAAAAGCTAAAAATCAATTGCAACAATCACCAAAAAAATTATTGAAACACTACATAGATCCGAGATGGAATTGTGTGCATTAAAAAGTAATGCGGGAGTTGCAATTTCTACTCATAGAAAATCAATTGCGTTAATCACCAAAAAAATTATTGAAACACTACATAGATTTGAGATGGAATTGGGTGCATTGAAAAGTAATGAAGGAGTTGCAATTTCTATACCGTAAAATCATATTAAAAAATTTGATTCTATTCTCTATAATAAATGGAAACAAATATATCATATTGTTGTTATTATATATAAGATTCTGCATTTATTGCTTCATTTTTAAGAAGGATTTAAAAAATAGTATCAATTAAAGGGGAAAGATGAATGCTGTATTTTTTTTAATTCTAATTGTTTAAAAAGAAAACTGCACAAAGAAAAAGCATTACTTTTCAAAAATTTTAGCTATTGATACTCCACAAAGAGAATCATTGATTATATTCAGTGTTGGAATAGCCCTGTTGATATAACAGTCAAGAGAAAGGAAAACCATAAACTAAAAAACCTTAAATCTTTGATCAGCTGTCATGTTTTTACAAAAACTATTCACAAGAAATGATTATTATGTAATTGAAGAACATTGAGTGAAAAGTGATAAAAAAAATAATTTACCTGGTACCAAAAAGCTGCAACAGCAGGTAAATTCAAACATTCAGATAAATACACTATGTTCAAAACATCTTTTTGAAAACAACTACCACCAAAACCTATCAAACAAATTTGCAAAGCATTATTATACAACAAACATATTAGTTTTATTGACTGATCATGATTTTTTTAAGCAGCTGAAACAAAAAGAAGTCTGCTTAATAAAGCTTTGTTAAGGACTGGGAACCATACTCATATAAAGAAAACAGTGGAAATAAGAGAATGAAACACACACATTCAGTGATCAAGTTTTGCGTTTTTCGAAGGGCCCTGTGCTCTGCCCTTTTTATAGTTGGTGCCATTGCGCCATTTCTTTCATATTGCACATAAACCTTTTTTTCCTAAAAAATCAACTTTAAGCTCTTAAATCTTTTTCTCTTTTCTATAAAAACACCTGTAATCTTCTTTCCTGGACAGGTTTTCCCTCCTCTAAAATGTCTCAATGTTAATATTGTATTCACCCCACTAATTCCTAGAAAAGGTGCTTTCACATCTCTTTGTTTCACATCTCTTTCTAGATTCCACAACTTATTCTGCAGTGCTGAAAATATTCAGTTTCAATATTGGTCATCTTATTCACTTACTTGTGCGTCACCCCACTAATTCCTAGAAAAGGTGCTTTCACATCTCTTTGTTTATTCTAGATTCCACAGCTTATTCTGCAGTGCTGAAAATATTCAGTTTCAATATTGGTCATCTTATTCACTTACTTGTGCGTCACCGATTTTTAAGCAAATTCCTGTCAGGCCAGGCATGCTGCTTGGAAGCGCTAGTATTGTGGTATAGCAATGCTAAGCACACTGTTAACAATTAAAATAATTACAATAAAAATTTGATTTGTAATAAGTAAAAACTAAGTAAATTTTTAGTTTTCATCATATTTTAAGCTGTCAGTCACCGGTGACTAATATGGCCTGAACGGAAAGAACCGTATCAGTTATTGATAACTGACGTAGCAGTCGACGTGTTAATATGCCTTAATCAAACCATTAAGTAGTTAGCGGAAATTTTTTTAAAAAAAGATGCAAGAAAAAAACCATGGTTAATTGTTATTAAATTGTTATATTAAAAATTTGTTACTAGAAGTTAACTGAAAGAGTATCAAAAAAAAAAATCTTTAAAAAAAAATTTTTTTAAATTTTTTTTTAAAAAAATTTGAAGACAATTTTGTATAAATTAAATTTTTCTTCTATATTACAAGTTCAAATAAAATAATCTAAACTATGCACTTGTAAAACTTATGTGGAGTTTTGTCTTAAATGATGTCAACTTTATGATTTTGATTTGAAATCAAAACAAGTTAAGTGATGTCTTTAACACAGTGTTATTAATTATTCTATCAAAAATAAAAATTTATTATAAAAAATCAAAACATCTTTCTTTTAAAATAGATAAATAAAACTTCCTTTCAAGTTCAAATAAAATATTTTAAACCATGTACTTGTTTAACTCTAATATATATATATATATATATATTTGNATAAAACACTTCCCCTGTATTATTTGAATGGTTATGACAAATAATACAGGGGAAGTGTTTTATTTCATTTGACAAAAAGTGCCTTTTTTCAAAAATATACCCCTGCCCCTTTTTTAAAAGAAATGCAAACACTGCACTCACCAACACTTGCAGTTAGGAATTTGGACCCAATACGACTGTCAGTTCCTATGCCATGCGCCACTTCACTCACATCAGCACCCGTAGCTTCACAAATGGCAGAAATCGAATTAATAGCTGATATGCGCTGTGCCAGAAAAGCATTAGCAGCCTGAAATAAAACATATAGAAAATGAAGCCAATTATTCAACAAAATGGAGAATTTCGCATTTAGAATCTAAATTTTCAGTTACACTTATCAAAAAATATTTTGAAGTGCAAAATAAACTAGTTACAATAATAGTTGTAACGTGTTTTTCAGGAAAAGGTGAAGCTATTATTCTAATTAAAGGGAGTTTTATATTTTTATAAAAAAAATTCAAAGTTCACACATCATTTTTCTTTAAAGTAGCAACGAAAATTGTATATTTCACAGCATTTATTACACCTATCAAAAAATATTTTATGTTGCAAAGTACAAAACGGTGAGAGGAGATGCAATAATAGCTGTAATGAGCTTTTCAAAAAAAAAAGATCAAGCTTAAATTTAAATGAGTTAGATTATTATTTTTGAAAAAAATTTTTTTTTTCATAGCCAAATCATTTTTTCATTTTTTGTGCATAGCCAAATCTTTCAATAAAAAATAAGCACCTTTTAAGTACTTTTTAAGCACCCAAAAAATATTTTTAAGCACTAATACAAAATAATAATAATAACAAAATAATTTTTTATGCTTGTTGGATACCCTTTCAGGGTGCATAGCCAAATCTTTCAACAAAAAATAAATACTTTTTAAGCACTATATACATTAACAAAATGCAAAATAATTTTCAAAGACTTTAGATGATCATGAGAAAATAACTAGTTTCTGATAAATAACTCTTTTCCTGATTATATTAGCCGTTATAAAATGAACCAGAGATTTTTTGGTTCAATATCAGAGGATGGAAAACGAAGTCTGAAATTGAGAATATCTAGCAAAATGCAGCAGAGTTGCACATGAGAAGGCAATAATCTCACCGAACCCAGCTCAGTAGACGCACATATGGACTCGCAAGTATAAAAGGATTGGCACTTTCATATGCCATGGACGGACGGTAAGCCGAAATTAATTGTGTAAACGTTGAATAGAACAATATGAAAAGCACGTTTTTGCATAATACGTGGCAAAAATCGACATGATAACGAAAAAAACTCATTTTTTAAAAGGGAAAATTAAGCACTTTTTAAAAACACCCAATGAAAAAAGCACCTTTAAGGGCTTCAAAATAACGAAAATCTTTAAGCACTTTTTAAAATGCTATGCACCGTGTTATTCTATGGAATATAGAAAAAATAAAGATGAATACTAACTTACAAGTTTAGTGAGCTCAGAAGACCATGTATTCATAGTTAAGATATTTTGTTTAGGTATCCATCTTTCATAGATGGAACATAACTTTTGAATAGCTTCCAATCCTTCTTTTGTTTGATCTCCTCCAATCAAAATACGATCAGGATACATTAAATCGTGAATAGCTGAACCCTCAGCTAAGAACTCTGGATTTGAGAGTACCTTAAAAAAAAAAAAAGAACCATTAAATATGATTATGAATAACAACTTCAAAAGATGCTTGCTTGCTTTTGTATGCCTGTTAAAGCAGAGGGGTGCAATTGTTCTTGTTTCCCAGTGCGCCCTAACGGCCAGGCTGTTCCAGCCAACTTCAAAAGATGCCAGCTACTAGTATCATTTTACAGTAACTTTCAATTGGCAATCCAAATGGGCTGACTACGGGTGGCGTAGGGCAGAACTCTCTAACTTTGGCAACACTTCACATGCTTTCACTATTAGGGTGTGGAGAGTCATAGGAGAGGGAAGTACGTTAGTTTTTGTCTCGATTTTCAAGTAGTTTAAAAACTTTTAAGTTAAGAAACTACATTGAACATAAATCTAAAAGAAAGGGTCGTGGAAGTTTAAAAAAATATTTTTGACACTTAAATATGAAAAATATTAAAAAAAGGGGAAAATATCCTATTACGTTCCTATACATCTGAAAAGAAAAGAGGGAAGGGGTGAAGGTGAAAACACGGTACTGGTCTTCTCTCCAGATGGCGTATTCGAGCGTTGCAATCGTGAATAAGAATAATAAAAGCAGAATTTACTGAGACAATCTCACAATCTTCTTAAATCCCAACGTATTATTGCAATAACTGAAAAGTTCATACAAATTATTGTTCAAAAATTTACAATACTTGGAGTACAATTTTTAAAAAATTCAATGAGTCCCAATACACCTTGAAACAAAGGAAGTAACAAAATCATTATCAAGGAAGAAAACATTTGATATAGGTTTTTTATTTATGAAATGTAAAAAAATAGAAGAGGTTAGAAGTTTTAGCAATAGTAAAAAAATACGATAATGGTAACAAAAGTACTTTCAGTTAGTTAGAATTTAATATGGTTGCAATATTTGTTTTTTGGCATATGACAAAAGTGGTGCAAAAAAAAAAGAAGTAAAGAAAAAGAAATTGCTAAAAAATACACGGGAAAGTGGAAACAAAGCTGTTCTAAAAAAATTTTTAAACATTTTTTTGACTCAATTTTCTCTTAGGATTTTAAAATATTTTGGAAATCTCGAGCTACAATAATAAATGTGTATAAATAGTTGAAGAGGCAAATAATAAGAACGTACTTGAAATGCAACACCAGGTTTCCTATTTGCCCTCAAAATACTATTGATACTTTCTGCAGCACGGACAGGAACAGTACTCTTCTCCACAACAATTTTAGAACTTTTAGAAATTTCTGCTATTCTCCGAGCTGCAGCTTCAATGTACCTCAAATCAGCTGCTCTGCCCTAATAATTCATTTAACAAAACATATTCAACTAAATATAATTGGTATTCAAAAGCAGTATTTTGTGATTTTTTGTAAAAGAATAAATAAATTCTATTAGTTAGATTTTTTTCAATTTAAATTCTTAAAAATAAAAAACTAGTAGAAATTAAGTTTATGTATAAGTAAGTTTAATAAACATTGAACATAATTGAAACATTAAAAAAAATAAATTATAAAAAATACAGAGCTACAATTAATTGCACACTATGAATTTGTAATTACATTAGGTGCAAAAGTAATTTTGCTGATTGAAACTAATTAATTGAAACACAGCAATAAACCTATTATAAAAATAATAACTTTAAACACCAATAAAATTTTTTATAAAAATGCAACAACCTTTAACAAAATTAGTTTTTAAATGTTTTACAATTTCTTCAAAAAAAAAAAGAACATTTAATGTAAATTAATTTTTTTTTCTTTCTTGTTTAAATCAATTAAAATTAACATGTTCTGTTCCAAAGCATTTATTTTCTGACTTTCAATTTCTGATTTTTTGAAATTTGACTTCCAAACATTTTTAAAAAATTGAGACACAGTCAACATTGCATCAAAAATTAAATCATAACTGGAAATGCATTTTGAAAAAATTAATTGTGAAACTCAATTGATTAACATCTTAATACTTTTCCGTAAAATCTTAGATGTAGTAACTTAGATGTGATATTAAATACAAAATTAATTTCTTTCACATAATTTGATAAATTACAATAAAATACTATTTTTATAAAAATTCAATTAAAACAAAAACTCTATGTCATTACTATTGATTAAAATGGTTTAATATTTAGTGACAACAATTAATGGTTTAATATTTCATTTAAAAACATAAAACAAATATTACTATTATATACTACAGGTAGAGGTTGTCGAGTTACTAAAGCGGGGGAGTCATCCACACTGCAGAGGATCAAAATTGTGATGGCATGCCTTCGGATCATCCGCATGGATGTTTCCCAGAATGTGTCCCTAACAGCCCACTGTGCAGTTCTTGTGGGATGTAAATGAAATACCTACCTACCTATTATTATAATATTTATTTAAAGAAAGAAAAAGTTACAAAAAGAAATCAACTAAAGAAAAAAAAAAATAACTAACCTTTCCAAAGCCAAATGTTTTAGTTGGTGTATTTACAGATATAAAAATTAAATCTGACTCTCTTATAGCAGAATCAACATCAGTGGTGAAAAATAAGTTTTGACCTCTACACTTCTTAACAATTTCAAACAAGCCAGGCTGTAAAAGAACAAAAAATCAAATGAATATAAAAATGATTTTCCTTTAAAAAAAAACTTATTCATTATACTTATTATTGAAGTAAAATGACAATGAGAATTCACAATTCGAAACTTGTGAGTTATTAAAATAGTGTATTAAAAACATTTTGATTTAAAAAAAAAAGAAGGGAAATCTGACAATAACCAATGAAAACACAATTGAAAAGTCACTTAAGATTAATGATAACTATTCTTTATTAGTTTATGAACACTAATAAAGAATTTCAAAAGTGATTACTAAAATTCTAAATTCAAGTATCGTAATCATGTCATTTTAATAACATTGGGATCTTTAAAATTTAGGAAGTTCGTAGCGATTACCCCCCGAAAAGTGGTAAAAAATCATTAATTTTGAATGTGCTCATCAAAAACTTAAAGAAGAAGCCATACCACGGTACAAACTTTTTGTTGCTAATTCTCTTTCACCTCCAATTAAAAAAAAAAAAAGAGTTCAGGCAAACCTAAAGTAAATCAATAAGTTTCTGCTGCTGAAAAAAAAAAATTCAAATTGTAAAAATGCAAACAAATTATTGGAAGAAAACTTTTTCATTGCATAATCCTAAGTTATCCCCTCATAATTTATTTTGATTTTGATATCTCAAAAATTTGTTTCTATCATTTGAAACTTCACAGCTTACTCTAGGTTTGTTTAAACTCACTTTTTGTATACTTTAAGTTTTAAATTAGTTATGGAGGCAAAAAAGAATTTGCAATGAAAGGTTTCCCCCATGGTATGGCATCCTCTTTAATGCACAATTCAAAATTTCCGTTTAGTTGATACATTTTTCCCAAATAAACTATGTTTTTTCTTCTTTTTTTTGGCATTCAGGTGTTGTTGTGGGCCATATTTGGAGAGCATCCGGGTCGTAAGATGTAAACCCTTATTTTAAAAAATTTAATCCCTGCATGCAAACGGGAGTGAAAATATCTAGATATAAGTTACTGATCATGTGGATCAGTGAAAAATTTTCTTAATTTCATCCCTAGCTGTAGCACCCTATTTTTTTTAAAAAAAAAGATTTTTAGAAATCCACAAACCTCATAAACAGGCAATTCCTCAGAGTTCCAAGCTCGTATTCTAGCATCATTTTTATCAGTCACAACCACTTTTATATCAGGACATTCATTAGCTATAACACTACAAGTTGGACCACCAACGTATCCAGCTCCTATGCAGCAAATTTGGTTCACCATTTTTCAGCTTTATAAAGATAAAATGTCATTTTTAGAGAAGAAAAAACATCAATAATAACCAATAAATTATATATTTGTTAAGTTAACTATTTAATAAACAGAGTACAGCGAAACTGACAGTCACAACTGTAAAAGTTGATAGAATTTACTCAAACAACTTTTATCACAGACTGTTAGGTCAAAAAGCAAAGGGCCGCATGCCTAAAAAATATATCTGTGGCAGAATTTCTGCGACAAACTTCCCTAGCACTAATATATTTTGCTTTAAGATATTTTTAATTATAACAATTACCAATTTAAAGTAAAAGAAACCTGTTTACAGAAGAAAGTATATAATAAAATTTTTTAATTGTAAATGTAATATTTTTTTAATTATGCGATTTTCTCACATTTTGTAGGCTAAATGCTTGAATTATTTCCTTTTTTGAATTTTATAAATCATTAGGCAAATTAAAATTCGTTAAAAAAAATAATAAAACGACAGAAAATTAAAATTCGTAGTACCTAAAAGAAAAATCGTTACTGTCAAAATAAAGATCACTTATCAAACAAATGGGACTCTTTAAAAAAGATATTCTCAAATAAGTGTGTGAAAAATATGGAGTTCTTTAAAGGAAGAAAATGAAAAAAGAACATTATTTCTAGAGTGAACTATGTTTTTAACGTTTGCGATTTCTGAATTTTTTATTTTAGATTATTATTTTGAAATTCTAGCTGAAGCCAGTCATTACAGATTCTTTTAAATTTTAAATCTCAAATGAGAATAGAAAAATCATGATTATTTCCTTCCTCTCTGATGCGCAAGAAAGACAACTTTGAAAAAAAAAATTTTTTTTCAAGAAATCATGCAGAAAGAAAAATCAAAATTTTCCCCTTTCCAAATGAAAAATCTTTCTGAAAAAAATCTGTAATGTTTTGCGACAATATTGTCGCAATTCTGCCACAGGGAAAAATATAGAGTAACATAAAAATGAATAATAAAAGACACAGATTCTTCGTCATTGAAAACTTTACAACAAAGCCGACCAAATGTGCAGCCACCATTTTGCAACATTGACTTCATACAGACGAAATAAATCACATATGGATTGGAAGATTCCTGGTATTTCATTAAGGTCTAGATCTGAGAAGCTTAATTGGGTAACAATATTCTGATGAGGATATAGATCATAAATGACATTTTTCAGGTATCCCAGAGAAAAATATCTAGGTAAGACATGATAGACCAAGAGACAAGCCTAGCCATCAGTTGAGAAAGGGAATATCTAAGTAGATTTAATAAAATTAGTGACTTGCACTTTACATTTAGACCCTTTGTTCCAAGATGAAAGTTATTTGTTTTGACAAGTAATATCACACCTTATAGTGATAAATACTAGTTTTGTCATGCTTCGTATTCTGTAAAACTGTAGTAACAATAACCAAACTTCATACTAAAATATCCCTTTTTATTGTGATGTGTGCATTGCAGAAGTTGCCAATACTTAGCGACTATTCTGCCGCAGATCACAATACGGTAATCTCCCCTCAAAAAATAAATATTAAGAAAGTTACACTAATAAAAAATTAAAACTTTATTAATAATTATTTTTAAAATTATTTAATCCAATCGAAAGGAACAAATCAGTCAATACTAATAAATAAAATTTCTAATTAATGATGTACAAAAAGAAACAATAACCAGGTTTTAATGAAGAAATGACACTAAAACAAGGAATGTCAAATTAATACATTTTGAAGACATCATTATAAATAACTTTTATTCATAAGTTTATACAAAGTAAACACAAATTTTAAACTGGTAAAAACACTTGCTCCCCGATGAACAGAAACACAATATTCTAAAAAAAAATCCTGAGTATACATCAACAAAGAGTTCATATTCACCTAGGTTTTATAACCGGTTTGTTGAGAAATATAACCGAATACCAGAGAGTTTTAAATTTAAACTGTAGCGAATATTAAATGAAGTAAAATTAATTACAGCTCTTGAGTTAATTGCGTACTTTGTTCCAATACTTTCTTATTTAATTTTTATGAACTTTCTTCAAAATAGGAACTTAAATACAAAAAGAAAAGTCCGTCAAGAATTTAAAACTCATCGGCTTAAAACTGTCAATTTCCGGAACAGAGAAAATCTCTGATAGTGAAATTTCTAAATATCTTTATTTAGCTTTAAGCTTGTTTAAAGGATTAAATCAAAACCACTCCTTTAAACACAATAAAATTGATAAGCAAGCTATAAGCGGAAAAAAGTAGAGAGCTCCAAAAACGCCTATCAGTCAAACCATCAACAAATGACGAGATTCACATTCAGCGCTCTTGAACTCTGCTCATACTTGTAGATGTTTATCAAAAAACTTCATTTTAATTTACTCATTTATAATATCTTGCTCTGAAGAAGTGGGAATCTCTTCATTATTTTTATGAATAAAATTTTATCTGGTCAATTTTTGTACTATTACTCTATTTATAACGAATTAGTAAGGAATATGAATTCCATGCTAAATTAGAGGTTTTATTTTAAAGGTATTTTTCTGTTTCTTTTATTTTACTTCAAGAAAGATTGCTTTTCATTCGATTTCACTAGACCCCTTAGAAACTTGAAGTCTTTTTTTTATTTTAAATCAAATCATTGAATCAAAATTATGCTAATTTTTTCCGATTGCGCAATATCTATGTAAGAATTTGAATAAAGATTCTTAACGTTTTAATATTATCAATAAAACTAAGAAGAAAAAAAATGTGCCATTCTGTTTAGGGAGGTCATGAAAAATTGCCAGACTATTATTAACACTTATGATTTCAAGTACATTATTAACCACAAATCATAGTTGTTGTAATATGTATCTATTAAAATAATATAAGTACCGTGGTTGTAGTTTTTTTCATGTCTCTTGAATTGAAATAGTATCAGCAAATGTTTAATTGAATCAAAACAGTAAAAGTTATTTAAAAACATTAGTCATTTTCAAGTCACGTAACAATGCAATACAGTACAGAACCCGTTATCCGGAAATCAGAAAACCGGAAAACCAAAAAGCCGGAACAAAATTCGATGCGTTTTCCCGCCATTTTTTTAAAAAAATGTTTTTTTCTTCGTAAGATTTTAGGATTTTTCTTTCTTTTTTGAAAGATGTTTACCTTACCATCATTTTGGAAATAATCATTAGTGTATTACTTCATCGTTTTTTCTTCTTTTTAAGATTATTTCCAAATATTTTTTTTTTAGTTGGGTTTAACAATAAAAAAACGGCTTTTTGTAGCGATTCCGAAAACCGGAAAAATCAGTTATCCGGAATAGCGATGGTCCCGATCGTTCCGGATAATCGGTTCCCTACTGTACTAATTTATTTCAGAATTATTTTATAAAATCTTAAACTGATTAAAGAGATTTCCTCTTATTCTCCACTGTTTTCAGACAGATTTCTGACAGTTTAAAAAATTCAGAACTTTGATAAATTTAATAAATTATAATAAGTTTTGTAAATCAATTGTATGAATTTTCCTTAATTTTCATGTTACTATTTTATTGAATTTTATAATTTAAGAATTTACTTTCATTATTTAGAATTAAAAAAATTTAAAAACTATTTTGTTATATATTTATTAAAATTTTTATTAAGAATCTGTTATGTTATTCGCATGATTCTAGTCGTTTTATTTTCAAACATTTAATGAGTAAAAAAATATGAAATCTAAAATAAACTCCAATAATTTTTTTAAAATATAAATTTGCATTGTATGAGCTTAAAGAGCGGCTGCCACGGATATGGATCTAACAGTAAACAAAGAAAAAACAAAATTTATGGTAGTAAGCTCTAGAGTCCATCATGTACGATTACTCCGAATTGGGGACTAGGATTGGAGTTACCCAGTTTAAGTATCTGGGTGCGCTTGTTACCAACAAAAATGAGATAAGGGTTGAAGTTAGGAACAAACTTTTGATGACTAATAAGTGCTACTTTGGTCTGAGGAACCAATTAAAATCAAAATTCCTCTCCATTGTTACTAAAGTAAATCTATACAATACCTTAATCAGACCAATTATTCTATATGATAGCGAGACCTGGGCAGTTAGCAAAACAGAGGAAAATATATTACTCATTTTTGAGAGAAAGATCCTTCGGTCAATTTTTGGAGCGATTAGGAAAAATAATATTTGGAGAAGTTTATGTAATCATGATATATACAATAGATATAGATTACCTAATATTTTGAGGGTTATTAAGGCCTACAGGATCAGATGGCTGGGGCACGTTTTTCGGCGTGGAGAGTTGGACCCAGTTAAAAAACTTACTTTTTCGAAAATTGAAGGAACTAGAAGAAGAGGGAGACCAGCTACAAGATGGTTGGACAGTGTTGAGAGGGACTTAAAATTGTTGGGAATAAACAGGCTTAAAAATCTAGCTCAAAGTCGCTATGCCTGGAGGCAGCTAATTGAGAAAGCCTTGGCCTGAATTAGGCTGTAGTGCTGACGAAGAAGAGTCTAAAGAGCGAATTCTCTTTCTTATCTTATTAATGAACTATCTAAAGGCATTAATTTTTCATTACATTAAAAATAGTTTTCAGTGATTTCTTTTGAAGTAATAATTTTAAAAGAATTCTGAAAAAGTATTGAGGGGCAATCCCCCCCCCCTCCTCTGACTATGCTGATTAAGAAATTTTTTTTTATTCTTTTCAGGTTTCAGTCTGAAAAATTTCAAACATTCTTTGAGTTGAATAAGAATAATCAAATTACCTGTCAAAAAGTTGATTTTGAAAATTATTGAAAGTATGTTTAGTGGAGCTTTGCAACTTACTGATCTAAATGACTTCATCACTCCATCTCAGGTTTGTTTGTTTTTATTTAATTAATTTGTGGTTTAGAAAATGTGTTATGCATTAAATTTTAAGTATTAGTTATTACACTATATAACAGCAGTTCCCAACCCATATCCCTTAGGCCAGTGTTCCCCGGTCTACGGACCGGTACCAGTCCGTGGATCAAATGGTACTGGCCCTCCCATTTCATTGAAACTAATTTTAAATTCCTAAGTTTATACCCAAAATTAAAAATATTTGTGTTCCATTAAAATTTTATTCATTTTAAAAAAAGTTCAGTTTGAAATCATCAACCCCAATGTAGTTAGAATGAATTTCAAACAACTTTGCACTAAATGTTCGTGTTGATGAGCATTTTTCCCCCTTCATATTATTTTAAATTTTATTCTTTTAGGAATGTGTAAAACCTATTCAAATGGTTAAAAAAGGTGGAAAAGCTAGCAGTGTGGTTATTTCAGATGATGGAGATTTCTTTGAGACTAAAGAAGTAAGGAATTTCAGTTTCTTTTTTTCGTTAATTTATTTTATTTGAAACATACTAAAAGTCATTGAGAAATTTTTCAGATCATTAAGTGCCGGATTTTCAAAACAGCAGAGTTACTGTTTTTGACAAGGCACGTATCTAGGCTGTAACCCAGTAACTTAGGATAATTGTATTAAACACCTAGGATAATTATATTAAAGTTATTATGCATTTGTTATCATGTTTATGTTATTTTTGCATTAAAACGTCAAATTAATATTGAAATACACACAAAGTATGTTAAGATGTTGTTAAATACCAATACAGGAAAATCTTTATCTAATGAGTTTAGTATATTGCGATAAATTCCCAAGTCATCGTCGAAATGCTTATAATTAAAAGATACAAAAATTATAAATTTATAATGAGTTAATACCTACCAGTCTTCATCTTTTATGAAGAAAAAAAAATTTAGAAAATTTTATTTTTCTTTGAGCTAGTATGTAATTAAATGTTCTTCTGTAAATGTACTAGTATATAACTTAAGTATATTCTGTCAACTAGTCTATAACTAAAAATACAAGAAAGAATTGAGGGAAAAACATTTTTATTCATTCCTGATTTAAATTAAGAAAAACAAACATGTTTTTCATGTTGCAATTTTTTTATCAAGCAATGTAGGGACAACCACTGGAAAAAGTTGTCTTTATAACAAAAGAAAAGTTCTCTCATTTTTAGAAATTATGTTATTGTCTTATGTTATATGTCAATACTGATTAGCCTATTTTAATCCTGTTGCATACAACAAAAGAGTATGCCTTTTGTTGACTTTATTTCCTTTCCATATCTCCTTATTTCCTTTCTTGACAACTTACTATTAAAATCAATATTACTATTAAAATCAACATTCACTGTTAACATTACTATCAAAATCAACATTCAGCATTACTATTAAAATCAACATTCAGCATTACTATTAAAATCAACATTCACATAATATCAAAAGGTATCATTCTTCATTTTCTTCCTATAATTACTTGTTACAATTTGGAAACTTGTTGTTCAAACAATACTGTCATAGCCATTCATAAACTACAGCACGGCTGTCCAACTGGCGGCCCGTCAACACATATTGTGCGGCCCGCCAACTTTTTATTCAGGCTGATCGGTCTCAGTTTTCCCATTAAAATGTAAGCAAATTGCTTTATAATCCTTCTGTTCCATTGTTTTATAATTAATAATTCAACTATTAATTGTTATTGTGTAAGAGGTTATTGTTCAACTTTTTCAAACTGCGGCCCGCCAGGTGATCAGTGATCGGAATTCTGGCCTGTGGGCTCTTTGCAGTTGGACTGACTTGAACTACAGTAAATTATGTAATTCAATTGTAATTCGTATGTATAATTCAATTTACTCTAGATATATATTTTAAATCAAGATAGCTGTTCAAAATCTGTTTATTACATTAGTAACATATCTATTACATTTTCAATGCTTTTTATTGCTATTTTAACATTAAATGCGTATATTTACTTATAATGACAATCTCATTATAACTACCATTTCATTTGCTATTATGAATTCTCTTTATAACAGATTTTCACTATTTATAAATGTGTAAATATCAATGATTGTGTTTTGTAGAAATTATAGTTTTGCAATGAGATCAAAAATATATTGTGTAATTATTAATTTAATTTTCATATTTTTGAACTGAATATATTTTGTTTTGTTGTTATAATTTGCAAGGTTTATTTATTTATATTTCTAAATTTTAAAGTTTAGCAGCTGCATGAAATCTAAAATATAACATTGTTTAAATTTGTAAACAAGACCGACTGAAGAAAAAAAAGAAAAGTATAAATTTTAACATAATAAAGTAGGAAAAGGTTTTGAAAAAATATGCACTTCAATTAACATATAACTGTTCATATAACTGTATCTAGTAATAGATTTTAAACTGTTTTGTTTAATTTTCTATACTTATCTTAAATTTCTCCTTTAATTAATCATTTTTCTCTTTTTATTGATTAAGAATCATGTAATGTTTTGCTTAGTTATAACAGAAAAAAAAATGATATTGTTATGTTTGATTCTTTTTTTCTTCCTAGAATGATGTTCAAGAAAAATTAGAAAAAGCAAAAATAACACTGAATGATTGTCTGGCATGCAGTGGATGTATAACTTCTGCAGAAAGTGTCTTAATCACGGAACAGAGTCAGGAAGAATTTTTTAAGATTTTGGAACAAAATAAACTTTTTGAAGAAGTAAGATAAAAAATTTAATGAATTCTTAATATTAATTTTATGAACTATATTTTTTTTTGTATATTTTCTTTCACTTTTTCTGTTTTATGAAGGTGAAAACTATGTTTTAACTTTAATTTTGTCTTTTATATTTTTGCTTTGTTAAAGCAAGTGGATAACTAATTAGAAGCATGATTCAAACTGAATCAAGTAATTGAACATTTTCTTCATTATCGAAAGCAGCAAAATTTTCCTTTATTACTTAAAAATAGATCAATATTTAGTAAACTATTAACAGTTTGCAACATTAACAAGGATACAAAAATCAACAACAGGCACTGATGGTCGTTATGTTTTTAAAAAGATTCAAAAAAAAAAAAAATTCTGATTTTATAAATACAAAGTTTATTTTAGGGTCCTAATTACACCCGGAAAATTAAAGATGATTTATTGGCAGTATCACACTTTTAGGCTTAGACATGTTGTCAAACCTAATCTAATGTTAATATGCATGCCTGCTGGTATTAAGAAACACTGCTTTTTTATTTTCTTTGAAATACTTGATATTCTGCACATTTATATACATATGCTGAACTCTAAGTGTGGCATTAGTTATTACTGAATAAGCCATACAATTGAAAAATAATATAGAACTATATCATTGCTGCATTTTCAGCAGCATTGTCTGCATTTGCAGCAGTAACCAAAAAATCAATTTTTTAAATTTGCCCGCACTTAACTGCACAATCAATAAGTTTTATGTATATGTTTAAATTGTTTGTATGTAGTGGTGAATAAAATCATTCTAAATTAAGTTTATTAAATTAACAATGAAATGTTAAATCATAAATTTTACTACCACTCAAAATATTCAACTAAATCTTATGGCAGGGATGCTATATAATTGGAATGTTAATTGAAAAAAAATTATATTTTTTGAAGCTTATCATTTAATTGCTTATAATTTTAACACTTTTTTTTTTCATTTTGATTAGCTAGCCTGTAATAGTGAAGTATTTTTGTTTTTAATTCAGGCTAAAGACTATGATAAAGTAAAAACTATAGTTGTATCTATAGCTCCTCAGTCAAGGGTGTCTATAGCTGCTAAATATAAACTGGATGTCAAAACTGCTGGCGAGAAACTAACAACCTTTTTCCATAATCTTGGTAATTGTGTTTCTTATCACAACCTTTTTTTACTAGTTATACTAAACCTATAAAATTTTGGATTTCATAATCATGATTAATCATAATTAATTATTTGTTGCATTTTTTTTGTTGGTGTCATATTTTTAAAAATACCATTACATCAGAATGGGGGTCTAAGTTATACAAATTTTCTTTTTTTTATATTTCTTTTATCTTTTTAAATATGGTATTTTTCTTATATATATTTCACCCATACTTTTATGTAAAAATGATAATCATCTAACTTAAAAAGGTTAAATATTTATTTTGACCTTTGCACATAATAAAAAAGAAAAGGAACCATTTGTATATATGTAAGTATTGGGAAATATTTTGCCGTTATGGAGGACTTTTTGATGGAATTGCAAATTCTATGTTCTGATGTTAAATGATGTGGTATGATGCTGCATTCAACAACTCAGCCTCCAGGTGATAGAGTACATGTTCACCTAAACAGATCTAAACAACATAAGACAGCAACATAAACAAAAATAAGAATTAGGTTAGTAATGTTTGTAGATCAGGGCATTTGATGTTGTCTATCAATGAAATGCTACAAAATATTTTCGGTTAAAGTGTAAGTTTTTTGATATAGCAGACTTAAGTTCTAGCATCTATTTTGTTTTGAACAAAAAGGGTTGTTGTATCTTCTGTCAGCTTTTTATTTTTTTATGCTCTAAATGTTCTAGTAAAATAAATCTAAATAAGTAAATTAAAATACTTAAAATCTTTTTTAATTCGTTAAATGTAAGTTTTTTAATGTAACAGACTTGTTTTCTAGAATCCATTTTCTATTAAACAAAAAGGGTTGTTGTATCCTGTGTCGGCTTTTTATTTTTTATGCTCTAAATGTTTTAAGAAAATAAATCTAAATTAGTAAATTAAACTATTTAGAATAGTTTTTCATTTGTTTTTTTTTTTTAATAAACAGGAGCAAAATATGTGTTTGACACTACATTAGCAAGAGATTTTTCATTGATAGAGACTCAAAAGGAATTTTTAAATCGTTACAAACTGAAAGATTCTGGTGGAGTTTTACCTATGCTGTCATCTGCATGTCCTGGTAAGGTATTTATAAATTTTTAGGGTTATTAATGCTTTTTGCAGTACAAATATTCAAATATTTGATATCTTATATCATATAATGATAGGATCTAACACGTATTTCATTTTTTAAATCTAAATAATAAAACAATTCTGCACTTTTCCTAAATTGTACTATACAGCATGTTCCAACTGTTTTGTTTATATTTTTGCAAAAGTTGAGGCAAATATTTACATTCAAAAAATGAAACGATGACTAGGTGTCCATTATCTATGCTCATAATATAAAGTGTCTACTGTAATTGATTGTCTTACAATGGCTAGATTTTTCATAATCCTTTCTTTGTTTCTTTTTTTTAAACATATAGGCTGGGTTTGTTATGCTGAAAAAGCCCACGGAGAATATATATTACCTTACATTAGCTTAGTTAAATCTCCTCAGCAAGTAATGGGATCTCTTATTAAAAATTACTTGGCAAATAAAATTCACGTTAAGCCTAATCAGGTATTTTCATATTTTTTAATTTATTTGTTTTTTTATTATTATTATGATATCTTAAAAACTGAATTCAAACATTTAATTCCCTAAATATCCACAAAAGTTAATAGAAATTATCTGCAGTTTGTTTCAGAAAAGATTAATTTACATGTGAAAAATGTAGATTATGTTATCTGTGTGTATTTTAAATTTATTTTCTGATGTGAGTGCTGTATAATTATTATCTTACTTTACTAATTCTTATTCTTGTAGGATTTTGGTTTAATATCAATCACTTTAACAAGCCACTTTTCCATATTTTTATACTGATACTGCATTTGAATTTGTTTATATTAAAAAAAAATTGTGTTTGTAACAAGAGTGCAATATATTTAAAATCGGTGGCTGTTAAATTTTTCTCTGAGACAAAAAAATTTTTTGTATCCATCAATTACTAATTTAAATCAATACTCGTAAAATTTGTTAAATTCTCACCAATCTAAGACAAAGGAAAGAGTTTTAACAACAAAGCAGAGGACATCTTTAGTTGACAGAGGTTTTACACTTATCAGGGCATATCTATCCCGCATTTGTGTTACATGGAGAGGAAATACACATTATCCTTGTACCACTGAGGATATTTTACGTCAACACTGTGGTCTGTAATTTGGATGTGAAATTCATATGGACTCACCATCTCTCGGATTCGAACCCAGTTCACCTTATTAGAAGGCAAATGTTCTATTCCCTGAGCCATCAGTCATTGGCGTACGCTCTATAAGATATAATATTTCAATTTTCCGTAGTGTGCTACCAATCCATTTATTTTAAAACTCAATACCATTTGTAAAATACACTGCCCTTATCATCAAGATCAGTTTTTACAATTGTTTATAACTTTTTTACCAAATTCAATTTTCAGATCTATCACATGTCTATAATGCCTTGTTTTGACAAAAAATTAGAAGCTTCCAGAAATGACTTTTTCAATGAGATTTATAACACAAGAGATGTGGATTGTGTCATCACACCAGGTATGCATCCAATTTTTGTACAATATCTTGCTTTTTTCTTTAATGATATTTTAGTACAATTTTTTAATTACTTTTTTTAGTTGAAGTTGAAGCTATGTTAGAGACAACAAAAGTAAATTTGAATGAACTATTAGCTGACAACATTGACCAAATTAAGTAAGATAAACAGTTTTTGAAATTGTTTTTAGAAATATAATTACTGAATCTTGCTTTTTGAGTTAAAAGAGAGATAAATGTTTTTTAGAATTGTAAAATATTAATAGATACCAAGAATAAAAAATCTTAATTTATATCATAAAGGGCACCAAAAAGAATAAATATGACGTAATTTATTCACTTTGTTGATGTTCTATTTTTATAACTATATATATATANATATATATATATTCCTCATTGTAAATAAAATCAAAAATATATGTCTTAAAATCATATAAAAATGCAGGGCTAAAGAGAAAATAAGAAGGGCTGGTTCGTTAATTACTCAAAGTTGAAGCTACCATTCCCCCACCTCATGACGTCATGCCACACACAGATCTTGCAAATCACAACTATAGAGGAGAAGAAAATTGCTTAAATTTTGAGAAGAAATTTTTCCATTATTTAGTTGTTCTCAGATGTCTCATTCTGTTGTGATAAATAATATAAAGCATTCTTCAAAATATGGTAAACATCACAATATGCATTTCTGAAGGGGCGAAAAAATTTTAAGAAACATACATTGAGAATAGTTACTTTCAGAATACTATAAAATTTATATTATAATTCAGTACTTATTAAAAAAATAAAAAATGGACATAGGTGCATTTTTGTCTAGGAAAAGTAGAGCTAGGGTGACAACTATCAGGAAATTTTTGAATCGCCATTTGTTATATTTAGTTGCTATTTTTTGTTCGTTATATTTATTTGCTACTGCTATTTTTTTCTTAATAGTTATTTATGTTTTTCCAGATATCGCAGTTATATGTTATTTTAAGACCTATAAAATGTTATTTGAATATTAATTTAACTGTGTTCCTAATTGATAAACTAGAGAATTGTTTTTCCAGCTCAGAAAACCCGTTTGAGTCAGGTGGTCTTTATACACATCCAGGAAGCACATCTGGTGGTTACTGTGAACACATATTTATAAATGCAGTGAAAGAACTTTTTGGAGAGTCTGTTTCACATTTGGAGTTTAAGGTTTTGAGGTAAGTGAATAATGATCCCCACATTTTACTACAATGAATAAATTTTAAAAAAATCATCCATCCATAGCTTTGTTACATGCTATGGTATTGAGGTTTATTCATTTGGTTATTTAATTTTTTTGTTTGGTTTTTTAGCAAATTTTAGGAATTTTTTATGAAAATTTTTTTGTAAATTAATTTATATTAATCGGATTCGTTTACTTTATATGTATTCATGTACTTTTAAATACTAAGTACAAAAGTCAAGCATCACTGGCTGCTATCCGTAAGCGGTGTGACCACTTTGATCTGCCTCCGTAGGGACTGAGAGAGTGTGGTATCAGTCCTTGTCAAACTGTTCTACCGTAAAGTGCTCGACCTCGCTCGCAGGTCGTTGGTCTACCAAAGCAGAGGAGCCACCCCCTCTGCAGAGGATTAAAACTGTGGTGCATGTCTTTGGATCATCCTCGGGGATGTTTCCTAGACTGTCACCAATAGCCCATTGCGCAGCTGTAGTGCGACGTAAATAAAGTACCTATCTACCCTTTGGTTATGCATCACTTACCAAGATGGCAGAACTTTTTGCATGTGTCTCAAAAAAAATATTCTATTTTTTTTATCTCATTAGTGTGAAAACAAGTAAACTCTCACAAACTAAATTATGCAAAAAATAAATAAACTTTTAATCATTTATAAGCCTCAACGTATCAGTCAGGAAATTACTGTTCATTTTCAATCTAATATCAGAGAGTTTAAAAATAGTGATTTATGTTTTTATTGAAAAATGCAACAGATCATATAGCCCAAAGCAGATCGTTTATATAATGAAGGTTAAGAATGGTTCTATGTGCACTGTTTTTTTATGCACCATGTTGTATAATTTTATAGGAGTAAATAGAAAAAAAAAAGTTCCTTATTTTAATGATATTCTCTTTTTAGAAATCAAGATCTAAAAGAAGTTGTGTACGAGAAAGATGGCAAAACTCTGTTGAGATTTGCCATTGCTAATGGTTTCCGCAACATACAAAATATTGTTCAAAAACTGAAGCGAGGAAAATCTCCATATCATTTTGTAGAAATTATGGCTTGTCCCTCAGGTAAATTTAATTTAATTAAAAAACTGTAATTTACATTTATGTGTTTTGTTTTTATTTGTAATGCAGTCAAGTCTCAGTAAATTGAACTCAAAAAACACAAAACATTTGTTCCCATTCTTAGTTCATTCTGATTTTTTTTCTATAAATATGGTACAACTTGTAGACATAGTGTATCAACTCATTGTGTAGCATTTTCTCTCTATATTAATAAATAGAGAGAAAATGCTACACAATCTGTTTCGGGTGTTCATTTTTACATTGAAATTGTATTGTGCAAAAACTTTAAAACATAAAAACTTGAAATTACGAAGGGTTGTAGAAAAATGTCCAGGGAGTACAATGGAATAAAAAATAGAACTTTCATTGTTTGCTTGAGAAAAATTAAATTTTAAATTTGTAGTCTCTCCAGGCTACAGAAAGGCAATTTCATAGTTGAAATTTGAGGTATTGAAGGAGTTATTTACATTTTTACTTGTGAACTTAAACATGAGATTATTAGAAAATATTAATTTCTTTGAAAGTTATTGCAAATTTTTTACAAACTTTACCTTACATTTTTAATATATATATATACGGTTTTATAAAAATTCGATTTCGCAAGAACTATTTAACCGATTTCGGTCAAATTTTGTATTTTGCCATGTAAAGTTAGATGCTTTAAAATTATGTAAAAAATTTTATATCTCACGATTTAAAATTTTTTCGACTATTGTTAAATAAAATAATAACAATTAGTAAATATTTACTCAAATTTAATTTTTGCATGGATTTATCTTTGGATAAACAAATTTTATAATTGTGTGCAAAAAATTTTCAATTTGATTTAAAAGTTCTCGAGATATAGCGAAATTTGCACATAATGAAATTAATATCAGGAAATCCAAACTTTGAGTTGCTCTCCTGACCAAATTATTGGGACCATATTTCCCAGATTGCTGCTGGCCCCTCTATTTTAGGGATCAAAAATCTGAAGCCGTAAAAAAAAGGTATGTTTATTCAGAGAGAGTACGTTCTTGTGTCTGATTTTGTAACTTAGAATATCGTCTGCACCAATTACTTAGTATATCTGAGGTCACACACACTCAAACCCTTGAGAAAGAGTCCTAGAAAGTGAAGATCTGATCATTAGATCAAAATTTGTCCAAGATGGTTCCTTTTTATTTTTTGGACTGTACAGTCGAACATGCTTATAATTAGTCCTGATTTAGCAAAGAAACTAGCAATACTTGGTTAGTACTTGGAGTATAGCCGGCGTGTAATGAGCAAAACACAGATTTATTTAGCAATATTTCTGTAATTTATAAAATTTCTATTTAATTCCAGCTAGTTTAAATAAAATGGTTAATGAATGTTGCATCAATGTGCTAACTTCCATTGAACTTATTCTAAGAAAAACAAATCATAGAACAACTTTAAAAAATTTTATTGTTCTTTTGACACTAATGTTTTCACTTCCAAGATACCTAAACCAAAAGATATTGCAGCTGAAATTCAAGCTAAAACAAATGAAATCGATGATGATAAAGTAGGTTGTGTAGAATTCCAAGCTGGATCACCTCAGCATACGGCAGTAAACTTTCAAATTTTTTGGAAAGTTTTTTCAAATTTTTTGGATTTAATGGCAATGTTTTTTGGGCTATGAGTTTTATTTGAAAAATAACAGCACAATACATAGATAATAAGTCAATATCAAAGCAAATTAACTAGTTTTTTTTACTGTTCAGAAATAAAAAGTAAATAAGTACTATTTTTATTATTTTTATAAGTATTTATGAACTTCTATAATTTTTCACAAACCTGTTTTTTATGAGTACAAATTTAAACGTAGCATACATAATACAGGGTGCCTAGCATTTTTAAAAAGTGCTTAAAGGTGCTTATTTTCAATTTTCGTTTTTTAAAAGCTCTTAAATGTGCTATTTTTATTGGTTGTTTTCAAAAAGTGCTTAATTTTCCCTTTTTGAAAATGAGACTATTTTTTCTATACCATATTGATTTTCGTCATGTTTTATGCAAAAGCGTGGTTTTCACGTTGTACTATTCAACGTTTTCACAAATCATTGAAACATAATGCATTTCGTCTTTCCATAGTATGGGAAAGCGCCAATCATTTTACATGTTTGATGAAATGCTTGTGATTCCGCATGTGCATATACTGAGCTGGATTCAGTGGGAATTATTCTTGTACTCTCGTGTGCAATTCTGCTGCATTTTGCAATGTATTCTCAATTTCAGGCTTTATTTTCCACCCTCTGATATTGAACCGAAAAATCTCTTGATCATTTTATGGTAGCTAATATAATCAAGAAAAGAGTTCTTTGTCAAAAACTAGTTATTTTATCATGATCATGTAAAATTTTTGAAAATTATTTTGCACTTTGTTAATGTATATAGTGCTTAAAAATATTTTTAAGTTCTTAAAAAGTACTTAAAAGGTGCTTATTTTTTGTTGAAAGATTTGGCTACGCACCCTGTAGTGTTTTTGTGCTTGTTATAAATTAGTTCAACTATATTTGTAATAAGTTATGAAATAAACTATTAAATTTAGGTTGTATTAATGGAGGAGCACAAATACAAGCAACTGGAGAAGAAACCAAAAAAGATTTGGTTGTGAGGATGGAGCAACTTTATCATTCCCTTTCCTCCATATCTCCTCTGGATGAAAGAAACAGACTGATTCCATATCTGTACAAAGAGTGGCTAGAAGAGGATAATCCCGAAAAAGTGAAGCAAATGTTATACACCCAATACCACTCTGTCAGCAAGATGAACAATGCTTTATTTATAAAATGGTAGTCAATAATAAAACTGTTAATTTGTTGGATAATATTCATGTTTTTAATTTTGAAAATTAATTTTATTGAAATAAAATAGGTGATGTAAATTTTGAAATTCTTATTGAAAATTGTTGCACTTGTCAGATATAAAATTGAGCCCTGTTGCTACTACTCATTTGGGAGAGGGGGTAGAAATTGAATACAGCATTGTATTATATATTTCAATAACAATTTGTTTTTGTGACAAATATTAAGTTTTAAGGAATCAAAACAATAATGAATGAGAAGCAATCCTGAAAGTTTGAGAGAGGAACTTGCTAATCAAATATTACTTTCTATCATTAGTCTGGAAAGATATGCATTTTGCTAATATATAACAAATAATTTCATATTTATAATATCCCTTAGTAAATGTTATAAAGCAGATATACCATAATTGAATTAGGTGATTTGTCAATATATAAAATTCAACAATATTATGGGTATAATAATCATTATAGGGATATCACACAATGAAAATTATCACAATGAAACTGGCAAGTCAATTGTAAGCGCAATCGTATCCTCAACTTTCACAAACGATTGCTCAAAAGAATTTGGAATATTTTCTCGTGTGATATAGGAATCAAAGTGACCTGAAATATCAGCAACTGCTACTCACCATTGAGAAAAAATTGCCTATAATTAAGGGCAACACACACTTGGACCAATCAGATCGATTCTTTCTTTCTTTGTGATGATGTAAATAATAAATTGAAAATAGTAAATACAAATGTAAATAATCATGGCAACAACGGAGATGGAGAGGATGACCAGACAAAAATTTCATCGATGAAAACAGAGCAGTTTTAGTGTGCAAATATAACATTTCTTTTTAAATTTGAGCATTAAAAATACTTTATATGATGAGATGGCCATCTCAATGCAGTTGATGTACCATAACAGTAACCTGCACATCATTTTAGTGGCGGTAAGTGCAGTTAACTATTTTCTAGTTAAATATTCTGTGAAAAGTATTTATTCGTTCTAAACTAGTAAAATTAAAACTTATTTTAATCTGTTCCATTCAAAGTTTGATAACTTTCGATAGAGCCGACCAAACTGTGTTGGGATCAGGGAACTGACCTTGCATCAGAAAGGTTCTGGGTTCGAATTCCGGTCAAGGCATGGATGTTCTTTCATTTTCTGTACTATCTGTCCTTACTGAGGGAGCAACGTTGGCCCACCTAATATGGTGCCCCTGAAAGAGTGGCCAACAAATCTGCCCTGTAAATGCCTGAATTGACGAAATGTTAACATAGGTGGGCATTGAAAATAAAAATTAAAGAAACTTTTGATAGAAGTAATTTTTGTATAAATAATAATTTCCTCATGCAAGAAGCTTCATATTAAAATATTGTATTGATTTATTTTTAAATTTTAAGCTTTCTTTTTAATTTTTATTTCTGTTGATTGTAAAATCATGTGTTTGATTATTTGACAAAATGCTTTTTTTCTTCGCTAAATAATTATTTTATTCTTCCCTAAGAATACTTTTAGTTTTTAAAAAACGTTTGAAAAAGTAACAAATTAGAAAACTCAGAAATGATGTGTGTCAAACATTTACCTTACCTCCACAAAGGTACCCCATTTATAATAATTATTTAAAAGTTTTAAATAGCGGTAGTAATCTAATACGTAAGAAGTGATTTAAAAAATAAAAATACAAATACCACAATCCCATTCCTTTTTATTTTCTTATCTTTTTTTTCTTTTCTTTTTTTTTACATTCATGCCCTCTTTGTTTCTGTGTATTATGATTTACATAACTTTTTATTCAAAGTTAACATACATTTAACAATTAATTAATTACTTTTCTAGAATTTGATCAAATATATAAGTTTACTTTACTAATTTTTCAATATAGTTTCATTTTCAATAGAGCAAAAAAATGTTTCAAAAAATGATTTGTTTGTAGTAATTATTCCATACTTCATTAGTGTATCGAATAATCCTGGTATTTTAATTTAAATATTTATTAAAGGTTTAATTTTTAATCTTGAAATTCCAAATTTTATCTTTGATAGAAGATATATTTCAAGATGATAACTTAGAACATGTAGCATTCTGCCAAATGACAGTTAGTAAATGCTGCAAAACATATAACGTGAATAAATTAGCGAAGCTATCTTCAAATAAATTACCTCCTTGACAGACTCCTTTCTCTGAAAAACAAAAGGAAACTTTTGCGTACAATGCACAAAAAAAGAAGAAAAAAACTTCACGTCCTAGGACTCAAACTTAATGGTTCGAGGAGGTGACCTCAAGTATGCTAATTAATTAGTGTTAACGCAAAAACATAGTTTCCTGAATAAACATATTTTTTTCAACAGATTCGGATTTCTGATCATTAAAATTAAGTTTGTACTCCATAAGATTAATTTTGCTTTTTGCGTATTTCGCCATATTTCGAGAACTTTTTCAGCAAATTTTTAAAAAAATACACGTTATTATTAAATTCGTTTAACCAACGATAATTCCTATGCAAAAAATCAATTTTAGTTACTTTTTTTAAGAATAGTTGAGAAAAATTTTTTGAATTGTAAGGTACACAATTTTTTACTTAATTTTAAAATATGTAATTTTGCATCGGAAAGTACAAAATTTGTGCGAATTCGGTCGAATAATCAAATTTTGAGAAATTAAATTTTAGAAAAGATGTATATTTAAAAAAAATTTTTGGCACACTGTACACAGGCATGTGTATTGAATGTGCGCACATAAATACATATCTACATGGTACATAAGTGCAAACGTATTCAATGCACGAAATACGTACATTATGTGTTCAAAAAAAATATGAAAATGTAAATGAAAGTCGACTAGTTTTGAGCACTCAAAAATTCACGTTAAGACTCATTACCGTCTAGCGAGCCCTGAGAATGGCAACGTTTGAAGCTATTAGTGCGCTCATAAGCAAGGGCGGATCCAGAAATTTTTCCTTGGGGGGGAGTCATAAACTCTGATCACCCCCCACAATAAATGTTTTTTTATAAAAAAAAAAAAACAAATATTTAATTATTTTTTTCGAAAAAAAAATTGGGGTTTTTAATGCTAGTCTTCTCATTTATTTTTTTCATAATGAACATTACATAAATAATTCAAGTATTCAACATCTTTAAATAATAAATGTAATGCGCTTTGACAAATCTTGGCTTTGGAAAGAAAAAAAAGACGATTTTTCGGACCTACCTAGATGTATATGCTACCTTAAATAATTTTTAAAATATTTTATTTCTTTTGTAAACTGTTAAAAAAAATTTTTTTTTTTCGATTTGGGGTGGGGGTCATAGGGGTCGTGCCCCCCCCGCTGGATCCGCCATTGCTCATTAGTCTAAAGGACGCATTTTGACTAAAGGAACACAGTTGATAAGTCCCTTTTCAATTAAGGTATTCAAACAAACATTTAAAGCAGAAAAAAGTAATAAAGAGCAATAAAATAAAAGACGTGTGTTTGTAAGACAGCACTTCTTCAGGTGACACACTGCCTGCAAACACGCAGGAACCTTTCCGTTGTCAGTGGAAAAACCAAAACTGAGAGTGCCCCAAGGCCCCATTATGGATAGACAAATAAGCGAAATACATTACAAGAATTGAAAAACACAGAGAAATAATGAACCAGCAAACACTACTTAAAAATGAAACGCCTGCTTAGAAATATAAATATAGTTACAGTTAGATTAACCAAATCAAAACAGTTTTGGTTTTTCCACTGACAACAGAAAGGCTCCTGTGTGTTCCTAGGTAGTGTGTCCCCTGAAGAAGTGCTGTCTTACAAACACACATATCTTTCATTTTATTACTTTTTCCTGCTTTAAATGTTTGTTTGAATATCTAAATTAAAATAAAGCAAATTTGGTTTTAACTGCTTTAGGCTCTTTTCCATTTTGATTTAATGTTCTAATTGTTAATTTACTTTTTCTGTTTTTGTAAATTGGATTAATTCTCTGACTAGGTCCCTTTTCAAGTATATGATAAATTTATTGATGCGCAATTCAAGAATAAAGGGTTCAAACTTTCGACCTCTTTGCCAATTAAATTATTGGAATGAATTCTTTTTTCAGACTTCTGCAAGCTCTCCTTCATTAAAAAATTAAAGTTCGAATGCGGATGGGGGAAGAAAAGATTCCTGTCTAGCCGATTTCGATTTTGTATTTTTAAAGTAGTATCTGCACTATTATTGTTTTTATTAAAGGTCGTGAAAATATGTTCATTAGTTGAAGAGTTATTAAAATGCTCCGTTTTACTACCCGTTTGTAAAATCGATTTTTATACAAATTAATTGCACTCAAGCAGTTAAAAATCTTCGAAAAATATGAATAAAAAAATTGACTCTTAGTTTGACAACACTCTTAGTTTGTTTCAACTGCAGGGATAAAGCTTTTAAAAATTTAAATATCTTTCAAGGATATTGAACTGTAGGTGGGTGGAGTGTGTGATTGATTGATTGATTTGTTCATTTACGTCGCACTAGAGCTGCACAATGGGCTATTGGCGACGGTCTGGGATACATCCCGGAGGATGAACCGAAGACATGCCATCACAATTTTGATCCTCTGCGGAGGGGATGGCACCCCCGCTTCGGTAGCCCGACGACCTGCGCGCGAAGTCGAGCACTTTACGGTAGCACAGTTTAACGAGGACCAATACCGCTCACCCTCGGTCCCTACGCAGGCTGATCCAAGTGGTCACCCACCCGCACACTGACCGCAGCCAGTGATGCTTGACTTCGGTGATCTGTTGGGAACCGTGTCTTAACGATCAGTCCACTGCGGGACGGGTGGAGTGTGTGATCTTTAAGAGAATGCCTTCGTGAGCAAACGACGAAACAAAAACTAAGAACGTCCACTTGCATAAACTGAGTGGCAGCAATTGCGTAAAAATGAAGGAGCAGCAGACTCGCATTGGCTGCCGAAGAAATGACGTAACGATGACGTCTCGAAAGACTTGGAATGATCCACTATGAATTAATTATTCCAAGAAGAGACGGAGGCTCATTGGAATAAAAAGAACATTTAGTGAATCTTGGAATAAGCTGGAGGAGGGAACAGTGCTTCTCGGTATGATCTCGCTAATTTAATGTGCACTTTATTCTTAAGCATTATTCATTATGCTTCTTTCATTTTATACTTGCACTCTTTAATGCAAATCTTTTTATCGTTTGCAATGTTACATTTATGTATTTGGAAATTAGAATGTAAAATCTCGTTAACTTAAGAAGAAACTAACAAAAATTAATCTTCTGCGCAAGTGGTTAAAGGGTTTATTTTATCACTATTTTAAAACATAAAACTTTTGTAAAATATAACGCTTATCACACTCATGATCTTCAAAATGAACAATTGTTGATGACTACTCGTCTTTTCAATTTTTTTTTTTAATAAACTATTTCTATCAATTTTATATCATTTTAAATTAATTTGTTAGAATTTATTTGATATTAAAGGATGTATTATTGTCAATTAGGGCTAATATGAGACGTGTTTAAAGTTTTATTGAAAACAAAATGATGTCATTGATGATTTTTTCCAACTATTTCTGAATATTAAATGTCCTAAAATTCGAAAACTATATGTCCTAAAAAAGTGAAACTATGAAATTAATCATAATATTAATAAAATTTTTAAAAAAACGTATTAGCCTTACGAATCTAACTTATGAAACATGCCATTAGCTTCAAATGATTCCTAAAAATGCAAAGCATCGAGCTTTAATCTTTTGTTTTTCTTCAACCTATAGAATGCTATTAGCATTTAAAGTTATTTTCTTGAAATGGTGCCCCAAAGAGATAGAGTGAATTTTCTTATAATTTTATGCGTTTTATTGTATTTTTTAGCAGTTGACGAAATTTAACTGTCATAAAATTCTTAAAAGTTCGAAGAATACGTTGATCTAAAGCAGTAAACAATACATTTTAAAGCAAAAAATAAGCCTTAAAAAAATTACTTTGCTTAATGGCTGAATTACTTTACGCTGTTCAAGAGCTAAAAACAGCATAACCAAGTAAATGAGTATTTACGTTAAAATTACAGTTGGTAATTAAAATGGATTTTCGCTTGAAATCAGTCTTTTTTTTTTTTCTTTCTTTTTTAAATTTTTTAAACCTAGACGAAAGATTTTTTGCTATTAAAAACTTTTTTTTCCTTAATATTGAAACCCAGGAATTGAGACTTAACTGATTTAAATCTTAAATATGTGTATTCAAATATATAATGTATGTACGCATTGGCTTCTTATCTGACTGAGATCACTTCGTATTTACTTAAGTTGGGTTGAATTTAAATAATACATTGCAACTTAAAGACGCAGATTTTGTTTCACTAGCAATTGCAATGGTATATTTTTTTCTTAGTCACAATAACAACTTTTTCTTACTGTTTTCATCATCTAAAAATAAATAAATAAAAAAAAATTTAAAAAATTTATTTTATTTTAGTTAAGTAGTATTTTTCAGTAGAGAACGACAGAATATTGCACTTTTTGGTAGAGTCTCTTAACAATTACTGCACTACAAGGCAAACCGCAACACAAGAGTAATTAAAATAAACATGGAATTAATTATTATCTTTAACACTTGTTCAAGCCACAACATACGTACACATCTATCAGCTCATCTTCTACCTATCGGTTATAAGAGCAGTTTGTTGGCGACTTTTGCACCCACACAAACATTAATATCCATGAGTACAAATTTTCAAAATTATATCGTCGCATTGTCAAAATTATATGGCGATATTTTCTCCCAGCTAAGCTAATTTGTATTACCTTTAAATTTGTAGCAATATTTTTGTTACCTAAATAAGATGTATAACATTATCGTATTCAATAATTATACCTTTGTATAATATTCACGATATGGTCATATTTGATAACAACTATATATATTTTATTTTATTTTATAACGTCGTTGAACAGCCGACCCAGTTTTTTGAGTTTATGACTACCAATGTTCAACTCTGTAGCCTTGTAATTTCGACCCCAATCCAGAAGACAAGGGAACTCCTGGATCAAGTATTGGAAGAAATTTTGCCTTCGTGGAGGGCTTTTTGATGGAACTAACCCGTATTTGTGTTACATGGAGAAGAAAACCACGAAAACTTTCCACGGTTAGCCTGACGGCAAGGGGACTCCAACTAGTAGGTCCGAACGTAAAATATTACTCTAAAACAGAGATAAAAGTATTATTTAGCTTCTCAATGTGCTACAAATATAAAAAAATAATGCAGCTGAATATTGAGAATTGTTCATTGTTAGTGGATGAAATAGTATACTATTTCTTCCACTAACATTTATCTCCAGCATTCTTTTGAAACTATTCCAAAATTCTTTAAACGATCGATTCAATATGCAAGTCATTTTTTTTTTTTTTTGAAAGAAACATTTTGTAATGCCGGAACACTTGGAATGTTTCCAAATATTCTAGGGCGCCATTTAATGCTGCGATCGTTATTTAGTCAGTTTAGGTTAAGTGTTCTCTTCTAAACATTCATTATATTATTTTCTGTCGCAAGTTTAGGAAGGTGGGAGAATCTTGTCAAACATAAAATATTTAAAATAATAAAACGATAAATTTGATAATGCACCTCAACTGTCTAAGAACGGAAGACCGAAGTGGAAGAAACTAATTTTAAAGAAAAAATATCAAATTATTTTTAAACAGTTTATAATTTCAATCTAGTTATTTCGAAAAATATCACAATCACATTTTATGAATTAACGAATCATAAAACGATAATCAAAACTAAAAATCGCTTGTTGCATACACGAAATGAATACTAATTTTCATAATAAAAGGCTGTTTAATATGAATATTCAAAATATCTCTTAGTTAATTCGGTAAACTTGTTTCTTAATGCAGATTTTATCTAATATAATCATGAAATTATTTCTTATATGACCTGTTGAGAAATATATTCACAAAGCAATTCTTTTGATATTTGTAATCGTAATCAAAATTAAACCTGTTAATGCAGATAATTTTATCTGTGTGTTATTCTGGCTTAGAAACTTTGGTGATTTTTATTTTTTATGAAAGTGGATTTTTTATTCGATTTTGTTTTTTATTTATTTATTATAATATATAAATATATATATATATTTTTTAATTTCATGTCTGTTAATCCATGCCGGCGGCTGTTCTCAAATTCGATTGGTTAGTAAAATTGACAAAAATTCTGATTACATCATTTAAAAAAAATTGCAATTAAACAGAGTGGTTGAAAACTGAGCACTCAAGCCCGTTGAAAAATGGTTGAATTTAAGATAAATTTTATTTGCCAATAAAAATTCTTGCAGTGATTAGGAAATAGATGAAACCTGCATTGCCATTAGTTTCAGTCGATGTTTTAGTGCTTCTAGTGCTAGACGAAATTTCGATTGCTAGATCCCACTATAGTGCTTTTAGACACGAAAGGGGATAAAAACGTTGTAAGATGTGCAAACAAGAGGGACTTTTTTCTTTCTTTTTGTACAAGACGCTTTTATTATAAATTCAGAACATAGTTACTAAGAAGCATAACATGCCTAAACAAACAAGCAAATAGTAACGATGCTATGGCGTGCATAAAATTCAAGGATAATCTCGGCAATAAATCACGCTTCCACTGTCGGATATGGAATTAAGAGCTCGCATTTACAATGCTTGCTATTTCATCATTTGTTGACATTCAATAAACATGACGACTGGCGTATAATTAAAATGTTTCCATAGAAAAATATTGTCAAAACAGTGACATTTTTTTTCCAATGATGAACAAAAATAGTTATAATACTATCGTTTGAGCGATGTATAGATTTCTCATTTCGGTCCAAAGCAGCTATAATATGAAACATTTGTCGTAAGTGGCTGTTCAAATATTAAGCATGTTTTTTCATTTTTTTTATTAGCAAAATTAAGCAAATCACTAACATTTCCCATGATTACAGTCCTTACCTTTCCTGATTTTTGCTTTTACTTTTGCAATCACATTTCGCGAATAAACTCTAACAAAAGAAGTAACTTTGTGAAAAATAAAATTTACTTTTAATTTAACTTCATAAAACTTTCAAAAGAATATTCCTCAGCAATCTTTTGTGTTTGCTTTTCTTGTTAAAAACTCTTGAATTTTAAAAATTTTTACCTCCGAATTAAATTTTTAATCCATATTTGAAATTTTTCCATGTGTATTATTTTATTAGGAAAATTAAGAAAATATGAGGATTTTAATATCGTAAGTAAGCATTATCCCTCACCCATTACGTGCTTACGTTATTTTAAGTTGTGAAAACAAATTTTCGTTGAATAAACAGAATTTTTTTCCCTCCTTTGACGATTCGAATTTTTGAACCTTAAAATAAAACCTAAAAAATATGGTTCCATATAAGTATTTAAGTGAATCAAAATGTATTTGGACATATTTAGTATGTTTGTACAACATAATATAGCAATTGCACGTTGACTATAAATATCGAATAACTATACAAAAATAATAATTTTCTACAGTTATTCGATATTTATAATCAACGGGCGGTAAAAACTGGATACCTCAATTGTGTTGAAATTATTTCTGTTTTTTAGCAGAAACTATGAAATACTCTTTGCTTGTCAAGAAGGACCGACCATTTTGGCGTGTTGTTGATTATTCACGGATTTCGTGTAGATAAGTTTGTTTTGCTAAGTTAATGCTCTAATGTTCGTTTGTTTTTTTAACTAGCCTTATTCATTGGTCAATACAGTTTCAAAAATTGTTTTTTGTCCATCTTATTATACGTTTAAGAAAATTGATACTTTAAAAAGCAGAAAGAATTTAGTTTAATAATTGCCCTATTCTGTTACGTTTCGAAAATCTCTGGGTTCGGGTACTTCTCGGGTTCGGGTTAGGGTTCGGGTACTACTTACTCAGTTTTGCCCCACCCCCTTGGTGTGTGTCGAAGATTATTTCAGAAGCATTATATTGTTTATAATTTAATTTGAATTTTAAACAATCATGCTTTAACTTTCGCTCGAAAGGGGAAAAAAAATTTGTTACTAAGTCCAATAAAGTAAGAAAAATTTAACTTGCAAATGGATAACATTAAAATAAAATCGTTTTCGTTAACCCTTTAATGGGCCCTTTATTTCTAGTAAAGGTAAATTAAAGTATTTTTGGAATTGAAATTGTTTTACGAACTGTAATTGATATTAAGAAAAAAAAACTCATTTAGTTTATAAAAATGCCATTTTTTTGGTGGTAAATATATTTAACATGGCCTATTAGGAACTTACTGACTTTTATTTTTCTTTATTTATAAAATAAATTCCTTAAATGCTACAAACTTCAAAAGGAATTATGTATTTTCTTTTATACGTTTTTTAAAAGTGACAAATGGTTACCAATTTTATTCAAACTCACTTCAAGAAAGCTGAAGTTATTGAAAAATGGAGACCTAAATTAAAAGTGGTAAAACGTGGTGGTAATTATACTTACCACGGCCTTCAAAAGGGTTAAATGAAATAAATTAACAGAACTTTAATTTATGGTGATCTGTTTGGTGTACGTTTTAAGTTTTTTCAAATGAAATTCATTACCATACCATCATAGGTATTTTTGCAGGTAGATAAAACAATAACCAGAAAAATAGAAAATGTTATTCAGCGTCTTTTTTTCCCGGAAAATTTGGAGAAAAAAGCAAATGTTTTAATTTTTCGTTTTATTGTTGGTTTTTACTTGTTCTTGATTTTTTTTTCTGCTGGCAATTTTTTTCTCCGTTGATTGTTGTTTTTAAAAAATTTGAGGTGGTAAATAATCTGTCGATGATATGCTGACATATGTATATGGCATAAATACTATGACACGTATAAATGATACATATGACATATATATGATATGATGATCCCTCTGCCGTGTTGGATAATTTACGTTACCTTCTGCTTCACACTACCCTAAAATAATGGAAGAGGCACTTTCAATTTTTAACTTTTCATAAATTTTCAAACTTTTTCATAAATTTCTCAAGATATACTTAGATTATTTTGTATTTTTTCAGGTATTTAGTTCATGCAAGTTTTCTTACTGAGCAATAAAATGTAAAACTTTCAGAGATTTGAGGGATCGATAATAAATTACGATATGAAGCAAGTATTTTTAAACACCCTATGCCAAAAAATCGAGCAATAAGCTTGTAACTTGTATCAATTACTTTGGTTGTCATTTTCAATAAGTGCATGAAAGTTCGTAAATATAGTTTAAATATTTATGTAGATATAGACATTTTTATAAAAAAACTAATTTTTTCGTCTTATGCTTTATTACTATAAGTTTAAAAATATTCAGTAAAATTTAACAATATTGTTGGAGTAATTTAAAATTATTGAAAAAATTATTATTTTAAAATTTAAAAAAAAAATCTTTTTTAAAGCTGTTGCTCGATAAGAATATTTAAGCTAGTTTTTTTTTACACTGCGCATACCCGTGAAAATTTAGGAAAGATAAAAAAGAAAGTGTATCGTATATGACAATTAAAGAAAAATGTCTGATTTGAATATCCTAAGAAATTAAAAAAGTTTCAAGCAATTTTCTAAGTAGTTTTTGTACTTTTTAAAAGAAAGCTTTAATTGATAAGGGGTTTTACACAAATTGTATTATGAGATAAAATTTAATAAATAATAATCATCCGTACACGCAAATGTGCTGTATAAGGAAAGAAAATCTGTGAACGAAAACACACATTTATGGGGGAAGATCCCCCCCCCCCGCATTACCAGGGTCAATCTAATCAATCTTGTTTAATTATACAAAATATAATTTGTGAAAAAACCCTAATCGTTTTTCGCTTTTTTCAAAAAGTACATAGAAAATAGCTTGAAACTTTTTAAATTTGCAAGATATTCAAATTTCATTTTTTTTTATTAGTTGCCAAATAAGATTCACTACAAAATTTCGGAGAAAAAAAATTATTTATGTGTTTTATTTATTTTTTTTTTCTTTTTTTTTTTTTTTTTTTTTTTTTTCTTTTTTTTTTTGCACATGCGGAGTAAAAAAGAGCTTCTTAAAAAATTCACATCTTGCGCAGTTCTTAATGAATTGTTTTAAAATTTTAATTTGTGAATAATTTTAAATTTCCCCCAAAAATATCGCAAAATTTTATTGAAAGTTTTAATGCACTGTGAAACCTGCTAAGTTGACCACCCTTGTAAATTGGATATCTGCATAAGTTGACCTCAATTATCAAGAACGGAATTTTTTCTATATAAAGAAGCTAACTTGACCACCTGTCTATCTTGTATGTTGACCACTGAAATAAGTCAATTTTGTCTAGGAGTATTATGAAATTCTATTCTAAGTTGACCAGGAAAAAAAATTCAAAAAATGTTCTGTCTTTTGCAGTATTTGTTAAAATTTCACTTGTTTGGTGAAACAGTGTAAAAAGCTAATCTAAACCCTTTTGTGAGTTGACCATCTGGGGAAACTGTAGGGGGTCAGCTTTTGACCATTTCTTTCATTCATTCATTGAAAACAGGTGTGTTAGTTGAAAAGTTCCTCTTCCAGTTTTTTAAAATTTCTTAAATGTAGAGCAACATGATATAGGAATCGAAAAAGAGAACAATGACCCACCCCCTCTATAAGTTGCCCACTTGTCTAAGTTGACCACTAAAGCAATGCACCACAACTGGTCTACTTACACAAGTTTTACTGTATTAGCAAAAAAATGAATTTCTTATAAAAATGTCTATATCACCAGAAATATTAAAGCTAGATTTACGAAATTCTATGCAGTTATTGCAAATATTAACCAAAGTAATTGATACTGAAGCCCTGGATAGAATAAGTAGCGACACGCCTCCATCTTGGTGACTGCAATTCATATAACATATCGAGTGCTACTGCGTCAGTGTTCAAACTAGTCAACAAAATGGCGACTCTTTAACCATGTGACCGACGACAGCCAATTAATATCGAAAGAGGTAAGAAGGTCGCAAGGAAAAGAGTGACGCTACTTAAACTAGTTTATTGCTTGATTTTCTAAAATACTTGTTTTCTTCCGTAATTTACTGTCAATCCCTCAAACCTCCGAAAGCGCTAACCCTTATTAAGTTATGAAATAGTCCTCTTGTAAAATTTAAAAAAAAATGTCCAAAGCTGGAATTGTCTCTTCCATTATTGTAGGGTAGTGGAAAGAAATTTCAACACAGTGATTACACTGCCTAATTTTTTTTATTTATTTATTATTATTTTTTCATATAACAGTAAGCTATGAGTGAAGGAGGAAGAAACGTCATATTTTCTTTCATCACCCCATCTACTCGGCATCACCATAAGAGATCCCTCATAAAAGCTCTTCAGAGGCACAAATGGTTCGAAGAAGGAGATCTACTGGACACTATGGAAAAAGGAGGTCACTCTTACTTTATTTTTCATTATTTATTTTAACGTTGCCCACCATCGTTCGAAATTGTAGATTTTTACACAGTTTATCAATAAAATAAACCTGCTCCCTTCCACATTATTGGATTTTTTGTTTAAAAAAATGGATTGGACGAGCACCTCAATGGGTGCTCGTTACAACCGAGTGTTTCTTAGTAATATATAAAATGATATACAGTCGCTTATAAGGAGCGCTAAGGGATCTCAATAGGTGCTCGTTACAACCGAGTGTTTCTTAGTAATGTATAAAATGATACACAGTCGCTTATAAGCAGCGCGAAGGGATCTCAATAGGTGCTCGTTACAACCGAGTGCTCTTAAAAAACGGCTTTCTAATGAAAGCATATTTTACTTTCTTTGGAGTATAGAGCATACCAATTTTATATTTTATTTCTGTATCATACAAAAGAAGTTAGTTAAATTTCTCGTTAAAACCAGGCTTCCCGGAGAGAAAAGTGCTAAAATTTTTGCCTTGTGATCGGATAGTAAAATTATTCCAGATAATATGTGACACAGATAAAACTATTCCAGATTATATGTGGCACAGGATCGTTAGTACTTATCGGTTATAGGCACATTTCTGGTATACACAAATCACCGATAATACACATCAGAGGTGTATCTAATAGGATAATATCGTGATCATTAACAACAACAATGAATATCGAAAACGATAGTGCTATGATCATTATTGATAACTTTAATTACCGACTGCGATAATATCTTGATCATTGTCAATAACATAACGTACCATAATGGTAATATCGCGAATATTAAGCTGAACGATAATTATTCCAAGTGATATTATGCATGGTCCGATAAGTATACTAAATTAAAATAATTATTATAGCCGTATAGTTATTCTTGTGTTATAAGAATTCTCATGTCTGAAAAGTATGGGAACTGTGAAATATCTCGAAAAATATGCATCTCACTGAAAATCTCAATTGATTGATTGATTTGTTCTTTTAAGTCACACTAGAACTGCACAATGGGCTATTGGCGACGGTCTGGAAACATCCCTGAGGATGATCCGAAGACATGCCATCACAATTTTGATCCTCGGCAGAGGGGATGGCACCCAGCTTCGGTAGCCCGACGACCTGCACGCGAAGTCGAGCACTTTACGGTAGAACAGTTTAACGAGGATCAATACCGCACACCCTTGGTCCCTACGCAGACTGATCCAAGTGGTCACCCACCCGCACACTGACCGCAGCCAGTGATGCTTGACTACGGTGATCTGCTGGGAACCGTGTCTTAACGATCAGTCCACTGCAGGACTGAAAATCTCAAAGTATACTGGTGAAATATTTTCAATCGATGCATTCAGTGATACCAAACTCACTCCTTTAAGGGGTTGAGGGGAGGAAAACTTTAAAGCTTTTAATAAGAATCCCAATTTTTTTTCCTTCCAGATATGAATTCTCCAGAAAAAAAGGACGCTAATATGACTTACACGCCGGTGCTGCGGCTACTCAGGAAACAGAGCGGTCGCCTCCCAACTAGGTAACCTGGCTCGAATCCCGGTGTCGTTATAAATTCTTCCGCAATGTAGACGTAAAATTTACTCAGTGGTGTCAAGATAACGGGTCAGAATCTTCTAGTTGACTGGCAAACCGTGGGAGAATTTCATGTTTTTTCTTCTCATGTAACGGAAGCGAGGCTTAATTCCATAAAAATGTCCTCTATAAAGGCTACTTGGACAAATATTTTTTGTTTATAGTAAGAACTCCCCTATCCATTCGTCTGGACCCGTGGTGGTGACTATTGCAACGAGGTATAACTATTTCAAGTAGGGGTGTGGGGTTATTGTTTAGGACAGATTTTGTCTCGGGTCGAATCATATTCTTCGGTCTATTGTGTTAGCCATAGAGTGAAGAGAAGCTGCCCTCCGTGAAAAGCGCTATTCTTGTTTCCATAACAGCAGACTACCTCAGACGTTGGGGCGGCGGGAGTTCTTACCGTAGACAAACTATACCTCCTAGAAGAGAGAAGGCTTCCGCAGTCCGAAGTAACGAACATAAACTGTGCAGTGAGGGACAGATAAGAAAGGTGTCTCTACGCTCGGGCTACTAAAGGATCAGATTTCTCGTTGTTTTAACCCGTGCGGTTTTCTCTCTTGCAGGAGGTGTTGGTTTGTCACGATCTAAGAGTTCCCCTGTCTTCTGGGTTGGCTACACAGTTGAACAATTTCACAGTTGAACATCACAATTTTGATCCTCTACTAAGGAGATGGCTCCCTTGCTCTGGTAACCGGGTAACCTGAGCGCAAAGTCGAGTATTTCACGGTAGAACAGTTTAACGAAAACCGATATCGCTTTCCCTCGGTCCCTGCGTAGACTGATCAAAGTGGCCACCCACCCGCTTCCTGACTGTAGCCAGTGATGCTTGACTTCGGTATTCTATTGGGAACCGTGTCTTTACGATCAGTGCACTGCGGGACCATATTAAAGTAAAATGGTAAACATCATTCCATGCGGAGATATTTCATTGATTCCATGTAGTAAGGCTTCGAATTTATATTGGTTCTGGTTTTATTTTTTGTCAATACATTCTTCATTATAATTTATGTTTTCAGTTTTGTACCCCCTTATTCATTATGCCAAAATTTGCCCGAATGTAAATAAACCTCCAATGTCGCTTCAAGATCCTTCAGCTCTCGGCCAGGAGTATCATCTACAACAGGGTAAATTTATTTTTTGTTTTTTAATCTTTCTTTGTATAGGGCAAAACTAACAGCCGCCGCAAGGCGACTAAATATGCCCAAGTCAAAATTTTTGATAGTTTTCCATTGATGGACCAACATAGTCTTGATGGTAACCGTCAATAATTCGATTTGATGGTAACCAACATAAGTAACCATCACCTCGATGTGAGAATTCAAACTGATTTATGATGGTCCAACATAAGAATATCAACTTGTTTTGATGGTTTGTTCATGTTGAACCATCACGAATTTCCATCATAGTTTCTTAGAAATCAAATGTTGGAGCGATCAAGAACAACCATCATCCCAATGTAGGAATTCGGACTGGTTTATGATGGTCCCACGTAAAAAGAAACAGATTGTTTTAATGGTATATCCTGAGAACCAACAGGAATTCCCATTAAACCATCATGGAAATGTATACATAGTTGGAACCAACACAGATCATTATTGGTCATCGAGAGTAAAACTTCTCTTGATGGTTAACCATCATAGTATTAAAGTAGCATTTTCCATCATGGAATGATGGATGTTTGTTGGCATATCAAAAACCATGAACACGTAATCGTAATGGAAAATGTTGGATGATGGTTACTATCAAATGATGTCGGACCATCATGAATCGGACTGAGACCACTATAAGCCATTAAAATGTTTTAATGGGACCATCAAGAAATTTGACTTGGGTAAAAAATGATGATTAAAAAATGTTTTATTAATCGCAACCGATCACCACGTTTCTCGTCGAAAATCCACCCCATGTGCAACCTTTCGTGTTATTTATCACACGGAAAAGCTGTTTTCATCCCTAAAACGCTCCTTTTCTCCCTTCTAATGTTTTACCCTGGTTCAAACTTTCACGGGGACTGAATTTAGATGTTGTTGTCGAAGGCCATTAAGGAAAGGGGTGCGATTGTTCTTGTTTTCCAGTGGCGCCATCTATCGCCAACTTCTGCCACACTCATACATCACACCCGCTTATAGGGCTAACCCATTCATACCTCCACAGATCATAATTTTGACCTGAACCAGAGAACAATGAATCTCCAATTCAGTACCCCCAGAGGTATAATTTGCTGTATGGACATGGGGGACTTTGTAACCCGAGAGATTTCACGTGTACCAGTCACCGTTTACTACACGGGGTGTCTTCGGCCAGCTGGATTTGAACTCCCCTTCTCATGAACGAGAGTCCAGCTCCCTGCCAACCCGCTATCCCGGCCCCACTGAATTTAGATATGAGATGTTTATTTCCTTTTTTAAAAAATGTATACAGCAATAGTATTTAATAGTACTGTAACTAGCATAATTACCTCATTATGAATACAATTATTATTTTAGTTTTATTTCGTAATGAATAAATTTTATGCCTGTGAATAAGCATTAATTTTTTGATGCATACTGATTCAAAAACTCAAACCCTAAATTTTATTTGTTGAAAACAATATATATGTTACAGTTATAGTGTATAATTCAGATATTTCACAAAATAACTAGGTGTTTCTTGAAATAACTAGACAAATCAGTTAGACAGAAGTATACAACAGATGAAAAATTTCGTACTTTACCCAGTTATTCTATGAAATAACTAATGATAGACCGTTAAATTGAAAAATAAGCAATTTCAAGGATATTTTATAAATTAATTGATCCTAAATAGATAAAATCTATCGAAAAGTACATTTTATCCCTATTGCGGATAATTAGTTGATAAATAATAAGGAAAAGCGGATAATTTATGATATTATTTAACAGTTGCTCATATTAATAACTACGTCGAAAAGCAACGGAATGAAGCGAACACACACGTCACTCCAAAGCAGTTATAAAAGGTTCAAAATTGACTAAAAGCAGCTAGAACCGGTTCAAAGGATTTTAAAGGGGGCCGTATTTCATACTTTAGCAATCAAATAATCGTTATTCTATTAAATACCTAGCTAAATCGTAGAATTTGAAAATACTTTAACTGACTTGGCCAGTTATTTCATTAAATGCTTAGTTAATACTATGAAATAACGAATTTCACACTTGAACGGTAACTTTTACAATACTTTACCTACTTGGGGAGGTCAGAATTTTTCTTCCCCTTCATTTTAGAAATTAACTCTGTAGTGTTTACTATATTTTTAGAAATGTCTCAAAATAAATGCTTTACATTAATATTATCAAATGGTTTAAAATTTTCATTTTTGGAAGAAAAAAAATGTTATTACTTGCTCTGCCGGTAATTTTTTTTTTATTTGGTCCTTTATTCCTTTATGCAACTACTGAACAAATTTTTTTTTTTCCATTTTAATTCTGATTTCGCGGGGAAAAAAGTTTTAAAGCTCTTATGGGTTCTTCAAATTCTAAAAGGCGACTTAAAAGTGTTTTTAAAGCCCTTAAAATGTGCCAATTTCCCCTTTCTTTTTTTTCCTTCAGACTTTCAATTTCTTAAAATATCTATTTGACACCTACAAAAGAATGCAGCAAAAGTCAAATCATAATAACTCTAAGCAAATGTACAAAATAAATTTTGAAACAGCAATAAAAAAAGATAAAATGAAGTGCAATATCAGTTTTCGACGCCCTTAATAACAATACATGTTTAATTGTAAGCCTTCGGGAAGGAAAATGAAGGGTGTTTTTTAGAAGTGAACGACGCGTATCTTAATAGCAAAAGAGTTTTTCTTGCGTAATGAAGAAGATCACTCAGCCGATGGTCGCCCACACATTTGATTTATAATGATACATGTTTCATAATGATGATTTAGAATAGTCAGTGTTGTTATACGCGTCTAAAATACTTAAACGTGATTAAAATTTAGTTCCAAATTTAATAATTTCTCAAATTCTCTATTCATTCATACTGAAACCATGCTTTACAATATAATGATATATTGGCAATCGAAATGGGCTACAGGTGGAGTAGAGCAGAACTCTCTGATGATGGCAACACTTCGCACGATTTCACCATTAGCGTGTGGAGAGTCATAGGAGAAGGAAGTTCTTCAGTTTCTGTCTTGATTTTCATATACTAGATTAAAATCTTCTAAGTTAGGAAACTATATGGAACTGAAAACTACATTAAACATAGTTCTAAAAGGAAATTTAAAAAAAATAATTTTATTAATTAAAAACGGAAAATATTAAGAAAAGGAAAAATATCGTAGTACATTCCTATAAAACTGAAAACAGGGAAGGGCCAATGGCATGAAACCAGTCTTCTCCCCAGATGGCGTATTCGAATGTTGCGATCGCCTATAGTAATCTGTTGACAGATTTTTGCTCTTCATTAAGCAACACTCTTACCAATTTTTGGTGCTCAATCCTATGTTTGATTTGGGAAGTGTTCCGAATTAGTTTTGCTTCATTTATAGTTGGATTATTTATTTGTTCATCCAAATGAGGTTAATATATGTTGCATCTCTCACCAGGTTTGTACGCGGAGGTCAAGTTTTCGAGTCCCATCGCTGCCAAAAAAGAAGAACCTCAGGAAGAAGTGCCACGCAAAGCCTGCATTTTCATGGGCTTCAAGAGCCTGGACAGCTACTTCAGTGAGGTACTGGAAGAAAGCTGGAAAGACTGGACCGGAGCTCGTCTGGTTTACATGAACCTCTCTGATGAATTCGGCCTGTCGAGGATTTCTTTTTACAGGAGGGTGGCGCCCAGCGACGAGACAGACTTATTCATGTACATAGTCATGGTGGAATGTGACTCTGTGAACACTCAGAACCGGATGCAGCTCCTGGACTTTGTGCAGAGGTTGAGGGTGGAGAGGATGATGGGATACCTGTCCGTGTACAGGGTGGAGAGGCTGCTTCCTTCCACTGCAAATGTCATTAACGGTCTCCTGACAGAGGCCGTCGTTGATAGTTCAGGAAAGGTGAACATATGACAGCTGGAACAGGTTCTTGAACTTATCACTGCGAAAGTGGAACAGCGGGATTGAGTCTATTCACACAATTTCTCAACTGCGTGTGATTTACGCATCCGACGAAGAACCTGATCGGTGAGCTTCCGTGGACGGTCATACTTTCACCAATCGAATTCTTCCTCAATGACTATCAGATGTGCGCAAAAAGCATGCAGTGCGAATGGCCTTAACATGCCTCCGGTTGAAGGGTATTTTTTTCCCTAACGCAATGGTTTCCGACTTTTTTAATTGTGTGGATCAGCAATTTTGTAACTTTGAGGCCTAAAAACTATAACAGTAAAAAATGCAATAACAAATAGACACCTATTAGGGATGGTTGACCATGTAAAACTAAGCTCATAGGACGCTGTTGGTTGGTTAAAATTCACCGTAAAACTTCCGAGTAACTACTTCCGACTGATTTTTACGCCTAAAATGCTTGAAAAAAAACGCACTATCCAATATTATTGTACTTGTAGTGTTTCTAATATAACGCGTTCATTCACTTTAATTTTCAACGAAACAAACGTGTTGTTGTTGTAGTTCATTAACGTCGCACTAGAACTGCAAAATGGGCTATAGTCTCAGAAACATCCCTGAGGATGATCCGAAGACATACCATCATAATTTTGATCCTTTGCAGAGGGGATGGTACCCCCGCTTCAGTAGCCCTATGACCTGCGTGTGAAGTCGAGCATTTTATGGTAGAACAGTTTAACGAGAAGACAATACCGCACACCCTAGGTCCCTACGCATGCTGATCAAAGTGTCACCCACCAGCACACTGACAGCAGCCAGTGATGCTTGACTTCGGTGATCTGATGGGAACCGTGTCTTAACGATCAGTCCACTGCGGGACTGAATGAAACAAACAAAAAATGAATTCAGAAGATTCCGCAAGCTTGGTTATGATGCTGCCCAAAGAATAACAAACGGTGCTATTTTACACAAATATAGCCAAATAAGGGATAACACTCAAAACATGACTATAACCTTACACTTTATTTATACTGCGATATTAATTTTGTTAAATTTATTTTAGGCTCACGACCTCTTAGAATTTATAATTTACAGAAAACTTTTGAATGGTAAAATTTCACGTTAATTTGAACAAAAATCGCAACTATAAAACTTTCTGGAATATTCAGACTGTTTACACATCGCCTCGTAAGTATGACATAAGCGGAGGGATTCATCGGAAGTTTTCTAAATTTCTTCTGGTTTTAGTTTGTTACTGTTTATATTCAGTCAACCATATTGATAGAATGAATATAACAGGGCCGAAAATCAACAGCTGTCCGTTAGTCCAAGACGATTAAAATGTAAATCAAACCACCTTAAAATTACTTCTGGTAATCCCATGAGCCACCAAACGATTTAGGGAGTATGTTATGCTGTTTTATTTTCAGGTATCGCTAAAAAAAGAACATTTCAACAGAATTGTGAGCATTACGCATTACTTTTCCATTTAAATTTCCTTTGCTAACGTTTTATAATATATATGGAAACGGATAAGTGAAAATGTATATGTGTTAGAAATATTTTTAGTTGCTTGCCCTTTGTTTCTTTAATTCTACCCCTGACACATATAATGTCTACATATGTCAGTAATTAGTTAAATATACCATTCAAGAGAATTAAAAGGTATGTTTTAATAAAGAAAATAATTTCTATGGCCCAGTACCGCGCTACTTGTGAACTACGAGACACCGCACGTGAGCATCTTATGTTAACCACTGCTTTAACGTCTTTTTTTTACCATCATGACAGAAGATTGGCGGCCACGGCTGTTTTAATATCAACATATTCTATCGATCTTTCAGACAACAATAACTTTTTCCTCACCATCTACTATGTGTTCTGCCTCTCTTTCGTTCGAAAAAAGTTATTTTCTTTAATTGGATTCTCATTGTCATATTTCTCTTACCTGAAAGATTTTAATTACCTTCACTATATTTGGTTCTCTAAATTTGCCTTGTCGCACCTAACCTTATTGTGACCTTATCATAGTTCTCTTTTTATCCGCGCCAGTGAGCTGTGGCTTTATGCATGCGTGATTAGTTCCTCTTACATGTAGTTTCTTAATATACGCGTCTAAGGCTGTGAAATGTGAATTCTTTCTAAACCCGCTTGTGGAACGAGGCTATCTTCAACAGACATAATGTAAACCGAGCCTTAACCTAACCACAATGAACCTTCTCCTTAATGCAAAGGGCCCTTTGCATTAGGGAAAATGCATTATTTATGGGCACAATAGCAGAGGATCTTCTTGAAATGGGAATGCACCAACTCTCTTCCCAACCAATGTTGGGATTGGGGCGAATTTATTTAATCTTTGCTGGTTGGTAGGTACTTTATTTAAGTCACACTAGAGCTGCACAATGGGCTATTGGCGACGGTCTGGGAAACATCCATGAGGATGATCCGAAAGCATACCTTCGCAACATTGATCCACTGCAGAGGGAATGGCTCCTTTGCTTTGATAGCCCGAGCATCTGCACGTGAAGTCGAGCACTTTACGGTAGAACGAGGACCGATACTGTGCACCCTCGGTGCATACGCAGGCTGATCAAAGTGGTCACCCACCCTCTTACTGACAGCAGCCAGTGATGTTTGACTTCGGTGTTCTACTGGGAACCGCGTCTTTACGATCAGTCCACTGCGGGACTTTAATTGCTGGTCTGTACTGCTTAATAAGATAGAATTCATTTATTTATATCATTTATGTTGATTATATTTAATAACACATTTAGAGAAAGAACGAAATTTTGGTTGGCAGCGCACGTACCTGGATCAGGCGAAATAACTGCCTTTGCTTTTTACGCACTGAATCTTAGTACTACTAAATCTGAATTTAATGTTTTCCATGTAAATAGTTTCTCTGGCTTCGTTCCCCGTATTAGTAGTTATGCATTCGAAGTGCTAGATTTTTTTCCAATATTCTTCTCTCTGAAGTCGAAAGCTTGCAATTTTACCCATCTTTCCACTTGATCCTATGGTAAATATCCTCAACACAAACTCAATAAGGTTTCTAACTTTCACATTAATGAACGCACGGGCTAGGACGATTAGATTAGATTTAAGTCCATTTAAAATGTTGGAAGAAGTATATACAATCTTCCAATATCACATCCTTCCAACTGCTACGGAATTTCCGTAGTTTCAGAAAATATTTTTCCTTGTGTAGGCACAAGTTTTTCGTTATTATAATTAATTAGACTTAAAAGAAGTTTGTCCAAAACAACATATTTATAATTCAAACGCATATATATCTATAAGGTAAAATTGACTAATGGCCATGTTTAAATTCTTGTAAAAGTTTCCATTCGTTTTAAAATACTATTGCTGGAAAAAGATATTTTTATAAGAATATCAAATATTTAAGTGCGTGCAATTTGATTTCGTGGCACTTTAATGAAATATTAAATTATATACAGCACAGACAAATAAATATCTAAGCAACCGGCCGAAAATCTCTGGGGATATTATCTTCAAAATAATTTAAGGTCTTGGAACATGCCTGAGTTAACAAGATGAAAAGAACTAGTAGCAAACGGCTTAAGCAATGAAGTACGTAGATGGATGCTCGTACCTAAAATAGCGTGCTACTTAACTGAAAACTTATTTAGGGGTTGAAGAATGAATAAATTTTTTGAAACACTGTCCACAGTTGATGAATCTAGTAAATATGGATCTCAACTTTTGTGACGAATTTTACCCTTCAGCACACTGTAAAGTTGCCTTTCCTTCACATCTATTGACTTCTGTCTTCTTGCTTGTTAAACTCTGAAAAAATTGTATTGATCAACTTGTACTTTGACACTTTTCGCACTCATTCAAACACTTCTGTGTCTTTTAAAGTTAAGAGGACGCCATACCGGGGAAGAAAATTTTTGTAGCAAATTCTCTTTTTTTCTTCATTTCTAATTTAAAATGAGTTCAGACAAACCTAGAGTAAGCCACGAAGTTTCAAATACTGAAAAGGAAATTTTAAAATATACAAATGAAAATAAATTATGAAATAACAACTTAGGATTACGCAACGGATAAGTTCTCTTCTAGTAATTTATTTGCATTTTAATATTCTGAATTTTTTTACACCAATCAGGGGTGATTGTGAGCCAAAGTCAAAATTCCGGAAAATTTATTGAGTTAAAAAAAAAAAAGGCTTAAATTGAAAAACATTGAAACAAGGTTTTTTTTCCTTTTTCTCAATATTTCTTAGTTTACTTAAAATATATTTAAAATTTTACACATACCAATACCATTTACACATACCTATGATGACCTGGAGAAGTAATTAAAATTTACAAATATGTCTTTCTTTCTTGAGTTTATGATTATAACAACTATTTACTGACATAAAAGTGAATATTAATCATGAATATAAGCTTATAAAGTATCTCTCTGGCTCTCCCTGACAAACAAATAAAATGAACTGTGTTTTTAAGTTCCACCTTTGAAAATTTGATTTCCGGAAACTTCTGTGATCAATGATTTTTTGAAAAGCCTGAACCTTCGTTCTCCGGAAACTTCCGGATCACTGTTAGCAAAAATTCCGGATATCCGGATTTTTTCCGGAGCACAATCAGCCCTGCAGCAATTGAAATTTTATGACTTACTCTAGGTTTGCCTGAACTTACTTTTCCTTTCTTTTAAATTAATAATGAAGGAGAAAGAGAATTAGTGACGAATATTTTCTTCGAAGGTATGGCGTCCTTTTAAGGACCAATCGTATTTTTATTATACCTTGAAAAGTTGAATTTTACCATTTTTATAAAATAAACGCCCTTTTCGTTTTGCATTTTTCTTCCAAATCTATTGTTCGTATTTATTAAAAAGCACAAGATGTTATCTTCTGTTAAAGAAACAGCAGTATCGAAAAATAGAGTTTCGTTACTTTAATTACATTGAAAATATAATTCATTTGAAAAGTTGATACATTACACTGTGGGCCAGAAGACTATGATCTTTGACCAAAAGTAAAAAATTAATTTTCAACTAAAATATGTGTAGACAGTTTTAATATATCCCAAATTAAGTATTCATAATCATTCCAAACATTATAATTAACTTTTTGGACGGACGAGAGTACAATTTAATGAAAAATATGTTAACAAAAATTATTTTAAATGTAACTTTTATTTCAGAAATATATATAGGAATTTCACCTTACTGTTATATTTTTATCAGAGTAATTAATCTGAAATTATAGTACAATTTTTCAATTTGTTGGATTAGTTAATACTCCTGACAAACTTACAGTTTATATCTTATCATTTGACATTTTACAATGTTTGAATGACTTATGAAAATTAGTTCCAAAAAGTTACACGAGGTAAATAGCTAAACTTTTTTTTTTGTTGTCTTCTTCTTTCGAAAAAACCTGCCCCATTTTGCTTAGGTGAACTAAATATACCGAAAAACAAAAATTATGTTTTTTTTCATGTTTTTGCGTTATTTTGTAATTATTTCTAATTATTTTGTAATATTACTTCGGAAATATAATTTGCTTTTCATTTTTAATATAAAATTGCGAAAATTATTATATTTCCATTTCGTTTTTTTGGGTATTTTTAGTGTATTTCAAAATTTCAACTATGAATTCAATTTACCCGCACATAAAAACCCCTAAATACAAATGTTATCGAAATACTAATTTTGGCTACGAAACCTTGGATGCTGGTCCACTGTGCATTATTAAAACTATTTCTTCCACCCTCAAAAACAATTTTAAAAGGGGTAACTCATATTTTGCAAAAACAGCCATAGACAGATATGAAAAATCATTAATTCATCAATATCATTATAAATGTCTGCAAAATGTAAGACAATTACCTAAAAGAATAATTCTCTATCCCTCCTGAATGTGTTTTTTCCACATTATTTCAGGCTGTACTAAATTTCTCTTTCAGTAATTTCCTTTCGATTTCACGGAAAGGTAGATTACCTTTTTTTTTTTAAATTTTTACCCTCGAAAAATTAAAGTGCCTTTCCAAACCAAATCTATTTTTTCTAGATATCTATCTCTAACACACTTCGAGAAAAGTAAACATAAATCTTTAACCCCTTTCCTGCTCAGTGGTAGGAAATTACTACATAATTTTTTTAGTTTACTGCAAGTACTTAGTTACAAATGTAGTTTACACACTTCAATGGTTGTGAATAAAAAAAATTGGCTTACATTAAATATAAGGGAATAATTAAATATTTATTCGTGTTTATGTGAGCTAGTTTGTTAATTCAAAAAAAAAAAAATTTTTTTTTTCTTCACATTTTTCATTTAACCTTCAACTCTTTACGCATTTTTCAACACTGAATATTTTATTAAAGAAATGCGAAATTATCAAATACTTGCAATTTTGTTAAGTGTTTAATGTTCTTTTGTTTTCCACTAAGAAATTAGGTGCATCAAAAATATGTTCCCTTCCTTTGAAATAAAATTTTTGAGTGATTAAGTACATCCATGATGGCTCCCTCGAAGATTAGTACTCATCAAATTGGAAAAATTAGTTCCGTTAGAGCAGTGTTTCTTTTCTAAATTAACATTGAAAATAGTTGCCAGGAATCGCTACAAAATGTTTTTTCGTATCGCACTATTTACTACACTAGTTTTTTTTTTTTAAAAAGTACTAACTAAGTAAAGTACTACACTTACAAACGACGGAAAAAAAGTAGCGACTACAGTAGTATAGCAACTTCAGACCACTGTTTCTGCTTTGATTTATTGAAAGTGTACGCTAAATGGAGTTTAAAGAAAAGTAAGTAAATGTTAGAGCAGTACCGAAAGATAATCCAAATCTTCTTTATTAAAAAAATGAATTCTCTTACTCGCTCCCAGATATGTTTTTTTTTTTTTAATTTGAGAAGCAGAATAAAAGCACTTGTCTTAATAATAGGAATAAAAAATATTTTCCTAAAAAGAAAACAAAAACATTTCATGCTTATAGCATTTAAATCCAGCTCAGTTAAAAAAGTGATATAAATAAAAATGTGTGTAACTAAATAAAACTCATATAAATGAAATTTTGAAATATTTACTCTTAAATTTGGCTCAATTACTCAATTAAATGAAATACCAGTCACGTACGGTGTGCCAAAAAAAAGAAAGAAAGAAAACGGACCACCCTGAATAACTTTTGATCTTATGATCAGATTCAAGTTATAGGACTTAATATTCATAGCTCGAGGGAGGTGACCGCAAATATGCTTATTAATAAGTACAGGCGTTATTTTAAGTTACGAAATCATGCCCCAAAACGTATTATCTCTGAATTAACATACATTTTTCCTGAAGGATTCTGACTTCTGACCCCCAAAATATAGGGGGTAGCTGTAATATCATAACTAGAGCCCGGATTTTGATGACCTAAAAAATCTCAATTAATGCCCTTAAAAAGTGCAAAAAATGCCCTTATGAACTGCAAAAAATGCCCTTAAAAGTGCAAAAAAAAGTCCTTAAAATGCGAAAATTACGCTAAAAATGCCTTATGACATGACTTAAATAGAAGTAAAAATATTGAACTAAAACAATGTTTTACTCTTTAAAATTATTATGAGTCGTTTCAAAAAATATAAAGCAATGCAATACTTGTTCTACGTTCATTAAAGTTTGACAAATATGTTTTATATCCTAAAATAACAA